CCCATGATGCCGAATAATGTCAACCCCCATGCCACTCCTATGCAGACGCCGTTGCAGAACTTGCAAGGCCGTCCGTCCTTGTTGCCACTGAGCCCCCCGGTGCTCCGACGGCTACCGCTCCCCAACCCGCGCTCGTCTGACTCCGAAGTCGAAGCCGAAAACTTCGACCTCGAACCTACCTGCGCCTCCGCTGGATGATGTCCATGCTGCGTTCGTGGAGTTCCGTGCGAAGGAGGAGGACAAGGTGAGCTCAAGTTTCCGATATCAAGTAGGCCAGGGCCGCCGCTAACCACGCACTCGACAACAGTGTCTGTCCGTCCAATGTATCTATTGCCAACAAGTTCGCGCGAAGAACACCAGCCGACAGCGTCAGCATCTACTGGAATGCCCGACCTACCTCAGTGTCATGAAGGATTCCATCCCCGCCAACAACCTCCTCCATACCTTCCCCGAGGGCGATATCGCTCGGTCATTGCAGATCCCCGCGCCGTCTCTGGAGCTGGACTTCCGCATGAGTATCAAAATGAACCCCAAGGTCTCAGTCGGCCCGAGCATCTGGGGCCATCGCGACTGGGTGACGTTTGTCGGCGGTCAGTGGGCCGGCCGATGGGGCAAGGGCATTGTTTTGGTGAGCTACATTGCAACGTTTCGTGCGCCTGTATGCTAATTCTCTTCGCCTTAGCCCGGTGGACAAGATTCGCAGATTGTGACCAAGGAGTCCAATACCAGCTTGCGTGCGAGCTACATGCTTCAGACGGCGGACGAACCGGCCGCCTGGATCATTGTGAAAACCGACGGATGGTTGACTGGCGCCAAGGATGTCCTGGACAAGGTCAACGATCCCGCCGTGGCAGATACCGTCAACCCAAACACCTACAAATACCGGATCAATCTTTCGATGGAGACTGGAGACGAGCGATACGCGTTCTTGAACACCCTGATGTGGATCGGCAGCGGTTGCCGCAGGGGCCAAGAAAGTGAGTTTTGTCATGCAAGGCAACGCACGAGAGATGCTAACCAGATCGCAGTTATCTTCGATGCCTTCCGCGTCAACTAGTCCGACACGATCTTGCAGCTGTTTTGTCCGTTTTTGAGCGAGTAGTAATGTTGTCCTTCTGGGGAAAATTGTCGCCTTCTTTCCTTAGTTCCTTTTCATTTGTTCCGTTTGGAGCTCGAACCATCTCCCTGCAAATTTTCGTCTTAGGCCCAGGTCCGCTTGAGGTGTTTCCAAGCATGACAGATGTTAATTTCTCATGACTCGACATTGACATTTCTATTACTGTGGTATATGGTATGATATTGATTTTACTTGGTGCTCGGCAATCGGGTTGCAGTGGTATGTTATCTTCCGGCCGTCTTCGCTATAATGAGCCAGAAAGGATTTGTATCTCTATTGAGAATGCATAGTCGCCTTGTTTGTAGTCGAAATTCTGTATATTTCGTTCGATGTATTCGAGAAGAGATCCAGCGTAATGAAGTACCTACGGAGTATGTCAGTATGCAGATAGACAGGGGCCGTAATACACCGTGCCTTAGTAAGATACCTACCTCTGAATAAATTACTAGTTGGGGAAAGTCGTGTTTCCTCATAACTGTATCTACTCCCTTACTTCCAGACACTTACCTTAAATTCTCTTGGTCTGTATTCGGACAGTCGTACTAGTGTTGACGTGCAGAACTATATAGTTCGAAGATTACGACCGAAATATGTATACAATCTCTGACTATCACTGGTGTTTCCCCCACCATTATATATACATTCATAGAATGTGTGAACATAATCAGTACGCCTGTTGGATATACTAAACTACACGCTGTATCTCGGTTCTATCTACGCAATCTGCAACTCAAAATCCTGTTACAATTGTCAGCAAATGTTTCCAGCCTCAACCGTTGAACTACCTACCTTTTTCGGTGTTGCCCTCACCCATACTCTTGCTGCTGCTGCTGCCGCTCTGGATCGCTCCAAGGATGCCATCCATGTACGGCGCGCCACTCCACTTCTGGTGCGTGAGGACATCGACGCCGAGCTCTTTCTCGCGGGACTGGATGAGACGCACATACGCGAGCATGCCCTCGTCCTTGAACGCACGAGACAGCTCCGTCGTGATCGTGGCGTTGGTGTGCAGGCCGGCCAAAGAAATCAGCTGCAGCACGAATCTGCAGTTCCGTCAGTATAGGTCTATTGTTTAGGAGGTAGGAGGTGACGCACCCGTGTTTCGCCAGGTCCCAGACGAATGACTTCAGCGATGCCTCGTCGAAGCCGTGGCCCATCCAGTTGAAGGACGGGCTCAGGTTATAGACCAGCTTCTTGCCGGGGAAGGCGGTGCGCACTTCGCCAGCCAGTTTGGCGGCCTTGGCTACGTCCGGATCGCCGGTCTCGACCCACAGAAGGTCCGCGTAGGGAGCGAATTCGCGAGCTCGCTTGGTGGCGGCGGGGAAGCCGGCACGGTAGTGGTAGAATCCTTCACGGGTCCGGGGGATATCGCAGGACCAGACGACAGGGGTCTTGGTAAAGTCGCTCGCCAGAGCTCTGCGACGCGAGATGGAGAGGTCGGGATTCTCCTGCACCCGCCTCTTATAAGCATCCCTCGCGGCCTGAGGCGCACCTTCGGCCTCGAGATGCGCATCCACAGCTAGAAAGGAATCAGTATGGCGCAGGTACTCATGAGATGGAGGGAAGTTTTACCTTCGTCGAAGGTGACAAGCTTGTGCTTCTTCACCCAGTCCAATTCATACGCGTCAACTTCGGCGGGGGCGGCTCCTTCGCGCTCCATAGCTTGTAGGGTCTCGGAGAGAGGCTCGACATCCTCTGCAACACCGAGGATGAATTCATGGTCGCGCACATCAATGGCACTGCTGATCAGCTTTCCGCTCTCCGAGTCCGTACGGGCAATAACCAGGTTCTCGGCTCCCATCATATCCCACTGGAACCGGGCTGCGACGAGTCGGTTGATGTGTTCACTCATGGGGACAAGAACCTTGCCAGCAAGGTGACCGCACTTCTTTCCGCCATGCAGTTGGTCTTCAAAGTGAACGGCTGCGGCACCGTTCTCAGCGAAAAGCTTAGCTAATTTGAGGACCGCAGACAGGCCACCGTGTCTGGGATTGCGCGTTAGCTCGCTGGAGTAGGGCGCCGTGGGGAGTTATAATCTGCAATACTCACCCGGTGTCACCATCCGCGACAATCGGGCGCAGGTAGTCGACGTAGGGAGTGGCCTTTCGCTCCTCGGGAGTCATCTTTCGTCTGGCATCCCATTGCTTGCGATCGTGCATCGACTGGGCTTTGAACAGTCGCTGCACTTGGTTAGGGACCGTGTTGTACGGATAATCGCCGAAATCAGGCGACACCTCGTTCGTGGTGGTCAAAAGGGAAGAACAGGCCCATCCTGAGACATACAAAACCTCCTGGTTAGGGGCCTGTTGTGTCATCTGCACCGGGTCGATCGCGCCCACTGGAAAGGGTTAGTAGATTTTACAACCATGGACTTCTTTTAAATAGCCGGAACGCACTGGTATGAACAGGCTTTCCCTCAGCGGCTCTCTCATTCAGCAGATTGAATAGCTTGCGCGCCATCAAAGAGCTGGGGTAGGTCTGTTGCAAAGAACCACGTTTACTGACGACGTCCGCGGCGGAGTAGGGGCGCTTGATACCCTCGAAGCGGGGAGATTTCCACCACGCCTCTACATCTTTGATCTGCTGTTCATACAACGCATCCTCAGCAGCACCGGCTTTATCGGCGGTCGACAGAAGCTGGAATGCATCGCCCGGCAGAGCCGTTGAGACAGGAGGGTCGACGGGGGGAAGCGATGACGCCGACATCCGTGAATAACCGCATGTGAAAGAACGCAGGGCGAGACGGGAGGGGGAGGCTGTCGTGGCCGAGAGGGTTGGGAAGCGTCGAGGGAGTCGACGGGGCACTGATCGCAACATCATCTGGAGGGAATGAGGCGGAAGTAGAGGAGCTCCAAAGTGAGGGAAAGAAGGAGAGAAGGAGAGAGAAAGACGAAGGAATGAAGTTGTCGAGTAGTTTTTGACTGGGGGAGTGTACCCGCCGTGATTGGGCTCCGTCCCGGCCGATCGCCAACCTCGGTCTGGGGTTCCCGTTCCCCCGCGGTTGTACTTTCGTCCGTATACCTACTAACTATACGACGAGTATACAAAAGAGATGCCATTCATGGGTCAATTATGTAGTGTCGCCGATAGCCGCAAAGAGCAGCCGTGATATGCCGGTTCCTTCTAGGTGACAGTCATTCTATGTGAAGCACAATGTGAAGCGCAATCCAGCTACCGAAATGTGCGATATCGGAAGATTCCTTTTCAAGACCGGTTGACATGGATGAACTCCGATCTTCCTAACAATGTTCCAATGGAAACCGACGATAGCCGTTAAACAGATGCCATCTCATCGACATGAGTTCCCGAAAATCGTGATCCTGTAGAATGCCACAATCGTAGCGATGTTTTCCCTGTCGAAGGTCGAACGCTTGACACTCCTGTACTGCATCGGTCAGCTTTGCTCTCCATGGTACTATGCAGACGCCATGCGGCCCACTTGCCTTGCTGCAGTATGAAACAATTCCACATCGACACACCTCCAGCCGTCTGTGCTCGGTCTTGCATGTATGGCAGAAGGGATGCTCCGCAAACTCCCGGGGCCAGGTCTGTATGTCGTCGTTGAGTCTGAAGAGGTTCTCTAGGGTGGTTGGAATCGCCTAATATATGTGAGTCGATCCTATCCTTCTTTGAAACGGTGGATTCGCCTTCGTACCTTAATCATCTTGTCATCCTCGATGGCAATACGGGACCCCCTTCGAACGGCATACATGATGGCAAGAGTATCTCCCAGTGCCACATCATTTCTTTTCAAGAACGCTGTTCCCGCATCGTCTGTGTAGAAATCCACATGGAAACAGTAACCAGTAGAATCGTGGCCTTTAAGAACGAGCCGGTCACTAAAGATCGCCATCTCCAGCTCGAACAGAAGGCACCAGTGCTTTCGCGGGGTAGGAGGCAAGTTCTTGATCTGATCATAATATCTGAAGTCGTCGCTAGATTCCTTTGGGAGGTTGATGAACTTTGGGAATGAGTCGTTGCTATTCAAGTTGGCGTACTGCAGGGCCGAGACTTGAGGCCAGGCGATAGGACACGATGGTGGGAGATTTGATTGAGCTTGACGTTCCATTGTGCGGGTTTTTGAGGATAGTAGGTGGTTAGAGGGAAACAGAAGACGGTTGTGGCGAGTGCGGATAAGTGTAGAGGTCAATTCATCAGAGGGTCAGTCCCTTCGTTTCTGTTGTCGCTGAGGTTTCGCACCCACGTACCTTTTCTCTTTCTCTCCACTACCACCAACTTCCATTTTGAACGCTTCCTCAATCTTCACGCCTCACATTGTCCAAGCCAGCATTTCCTAAAGACACATGTCTTTCCCTATAACTTTGTATCCGCGGACTTTGGTCCTGAAGCATGCTCCTACCGTGGTTATGGCTTACGGTACATACACCATGTCACGGCTTCAGCTTCAATATCAGGCCTGGCCGCTACAATCCACGATCAACATGTACTACCAATTATTGGACGCTACGAACTTGTCGAAACGAAAACGTGATACAAGCCTCGCGATGACCCCCACGCGGGGGAAACCTATCACCTGGGATGCTCTATGCCAAGGTCTGCCTCGTCGTCAGGCAGACTGGTTATAAATCAATGGGGGAATGGGTTTGAAGGTACAGGAGCTCCTCTAGAGTTACCATTACCCGTCATTGTGCTAGACTAACCGCAACATGCCGTATAGACCCATTCGGGTCTGTTGAATATCCAGTACATCGAGTCACTAGGATACCGTCATCAACCAGCCGTTTACGTTCATTGATCACAGTCTTGTCATGATAGTCAAGCTGGGTTGATCTGGCCAGTACATCCTAGACACGATCTCCGAAAACTTTTTCGGCTCTGTCTATCTAAGGCCAGATGATAGTCACGCTCTCAAGAGAACTCTCGGGTCTGCGGTCACGTTGACAGAAAATGGGGCTAGAACCGACAAGTTTGCCGGAAGGCATGGATTATCTACCTGCGTATCCCTCATCAAGCTTAAGGCATATGAGAGATCCAACCTCGAGGCCTAGGACCACCCAACCTACCAAACTACCTCCCATCACTCGAGGATGATCATACATCGTTAAGTGCGAATGGACATACCGATTAACTGAGAATATTTATGCATGTCATTCCCCAGTGTACGAGGGGGTTGGAGGTCCTGAGGCCTGAGCCCAACATTAGCCGGGCTCATTGACCACTGTCTAACAAGGGTATCCCAGCCTCAGACTCTTAGCATACATGCACGACACCTATGACATAAGGTCGGTTTGGCAGTTTCCGCAGTGAGATCGGTCTAGAGATCTGTCAATCAGATGATGACTGTGGGCGGTTGTTAAGAAATGAGCCCATACAGGTGAGCTCTACGACTCTAATGACCCTTTACACTCATATTTACAAAAGACTGCTGAGCAAGGAATCGGTTAAAGTTGATAATATAACTCTCTCGATCTATACGTCAACTGCACAATTTCATCTCTTTTGGTGTACCATACAGCATAGAAGACGACTTGGATTGTTGACGTCTCCGCACATCTCCGCATTTCCCGCCAGCAACCACGGAGTTTCTAGAACCATCAGACGGACGGACAATCCAATAGATCGGCACCATCTGGGGTTGGAACGACCCAAAGTACTGATCTCAGGTACGATGACGTCCAACAAACAGGTAAGTTCATCTATCCCGAGATATCCTGTGACCGCCCTGAGACAAGATCTGGGTCGGCCGTGTTTACGATCAACTCTCGTCAAATTCAACCGCTCTTTGGTCGCGTGGCGTGTTTCTCGATTTGAAACGTCCACCGTGCTCTGTCGCACATGGATGCCATGATGTGGGGGTACACAGCCAGAAGATGAATGCGGGATGGCACTCGGTCCTCTGGTCGAATCCGATGAGGGGGATGCACTCACACGAACCTCTTCGCCTGCCTTGCAACCCGATGGCCGGTCATTCAGATCCAGACCCTCTCCCGAGTGGCGTTCGTCCATCCTATCACCGACCAGGTATGATTGCATACCGGACTGCGGTGCTCTGCTGGTTGCCACGATGCCCCGGGATTGATTAAATTTCTGCGGAGGCGTTTATAGAGCGAGAAGACCATGTTCGAAGGGATGTATTTGCTTCTCTTTGCCTCCGCAACCTACCTTTCACGAAGGATGCATAAAAATAATCGTTCTGCCCCGTCTCCAACTGTGCCCGTCGCCAAGGGTCGTCCACTTTCTGCTGCATCGGCGAATCCCCGTTGTCCACCTGCCCCCCCAGCTCTATCTCCGCAGTCTAGCGCCACTCTTATCAACCCCTTCTCCTCACCACTCGGAGCCTGATGGGTCTGAGTTATCTCTCCCTCGTTGACCTGCCACCTATCTACTCGTCCTGTTTGGAAATCATCCCAGATACGACGGGAAGCTCTTATCAGTTTGCTTCGCCGCGGGAAACGCCCTTCTTTGTTCTTCTGGTGTCATTTCTACCACCCTGCTCCCCGCCAACCATTTCCCTTCCTTCATTTCCCTCTTTTGATCCTCCTGTTCCGAGCTCTTGGCGGGGTTCATGATATCATTTCTCTGACGGGCATGGAAGACATCAAAATTCCCTCGCCATCGGCCATTCTAGATCCCACACCGCCACCCGTCTCTGGTGGTCCATCTAGAGCTCCCCCGACACGGAAGACGCACCCGCCGCCAGACAAGGCTGGCAACAATGCCATAGCTAACAAACCGAAGCAATCCAAAAGCCGTAACGGTACGGTCCTACCACTTCTTTCTAATCCGTCTCGTAGGAAGAGGGGGAGGCGGTCGGTCCGCCACGAGGTGGAAAGCGGACCACCTCCTCTCCATACATGCGCAGTGCGCTGACCATAGTCATGATGTTGTTCATTCAGGATGCATCACCTGCAAAGCCAAACGCCTGAAGTGTGACGAGACGAAACCCACCTGCGTGCAGTGCAAGAAGCGAAACGTGGATTGCGGTGGCTATCGGAAGGACTTCAAATGGCGGCCCTTCGAAGAGAGCAACATCGTCGGGAAAGCATCGACGTCCAGGTCGAAGAAAGGTATGGATGAGTCCTTCTGGCTAGATAAATCTGGTTCACGGAGAACTGAGATCTCATGCACGCAGTCTCCTCGTCGCCTACCAGTGCGCACCAGACCACTCAGCTCCCGACTCCCCCAGCTACAGGGAGTACGGCGCCGCGGAAAGCGAAGCAAGCAACCAGGTCGGATGATTTTTCGTTAGGATTCAATGATTTCTTGCGTCCCCATGAGCCGCCGCCGAAAACTGGTGGCATGGAGGGTCACCCGAGCAGCTTTCCAATGTCGCAGAAGAATCTCCTGTTCGGTGCTGACAAGTTACTGTGCCAAACAACTGCCATCAACCTAGAGGAGGACCCTATTGCAGCGTCCTTGAAGGACATTCCCCCGCTAGATGACTCCACATGGCTGCCACTCTCACCGGACGAGCTGGGGACGAACTCTGAGCAACCCCCCAGGGCGGCTCCAGAGGATGACAGTCCCCAGCGAAACGACGACTTTAGTTTTTCAGCTCTTCTTGAGGAGGATGGCGAGGTGGAAGATGTGATCCGCAACCCAAACCGAACCTCTGCGACCGACGTCGCACCAACGACTCTGTCCACTTTCCTCCAAGGTATAGGCGCAGCACACGACCTGCCCCGAGAACCCAGGCTCGATCTTGGGAGCCCCGAGCTACTAGTCGTGCAGTTCGACCGGTTCACATGCGGCATCCTCTCCATCAAAGACGGCATCCGCGAGAACCCCTGGCGAACGTTGATCTGGCCGATGGCAAAAACCACCCCGGCACTCTATCACGCGGTCTTCTCCCTAGCCGCCTTTCACTGCAGCAAGAGCCGGCCCGCACTGCGCGTCCACGGCGTCGACCACATGCGCAAAAGCATCACCTACATGGTGCAGGACATCCAGAACATGCGTGCGGACGCGGCACTCGCCACAAGCCTGGCGCTTGCCTTTGCCGACACCTGGGACCAGAACACGCGCACCTGCATCCAACATCTGCGCGGCGCCAAGGCCCTCGTCTCGCAGGTCGTCAGCTTTGGCCTGCAGAGCGGCATGACCGGCGAGGACCTCGAGCGTGTGCGCTTTCTGTACAACACCTGGCTATACATGGACGTGATTGCGCGGTTGACGGCCCGCGAGGACTGCGGCCATCAAGCGGTGGATTTCTCGCTGCTGCACTTCCCGCGCGACGCCGTGCACCAGATTGACCCGCTTATGGGCTGCGCGGCGACGCTCTTCCCGCTTATCGACCGAGTCGCCCGCCTCATCCAGCGCGTGCGCCGCACTGACTCCAACTCCATCTCGCTCGTGTCACAGGCCATCGAGCTCAAACGCCTCGTCGAGCAGTGGGAGCCACCGGACTGGTTCGAGCCGCCGCAGGACCCCACCTCCGAGGTCCAGCATAGCATCCAGACTGCACATGCATATCGCTGGGCGACGCTGCTGTATCTGCACCAGGCGGTGCCAGAGATGCCATCCGAGCCGGCGCCGGAGTTGGCCAAGCGCGTGCTCATCCTCTTGGCGACGGTGCCGCCCAGCTCGCGCACGACCATCATCCAAATGTTTCCGCTCCTCGCTGCGGGCTGCGAGGCCGCCCAAGAGGAGGACCGGCAGTGGGTGCTGGGGCGGTGGGATGTGATCCAGTCCCGGCTCATGCTGGGCTCGATCGATCGATGTATTGAGGTCGTCCGTGAGGTCTGGACGCGGCGAGATGTGTTCGAGACGGAGAAGCAGCGGCGGTTGCTCCGCGAGCTGGGTGCGCGTGCTGATCCCCATCTTCCGCTTGATTCAATGGGACCGGATGTGTATGGGGTTACGGGGACGACGGCTGTGCCGTCGAGGGTGCCGTCTCGACGGAGCTCAGCGGTATCGGAGCTGGAGAACATCGAATTCGAGAAGACTGTCCGAGGCCATCTACACTGGGTAAAGGTGATGCAAGGAATGGGGCTGGGAGGGTAAGTTTGTTCATTTCTGACACTGACATTGCCTGTCCGACTGACAAATCTGCGTATCCGGTAGTCTTCTTAGGGTAAACACGATCCACTGCGGCTTCCAGCATTGCTCCCCTGCAGCGGGCTACCTTCCTTCGCACATCGCACACTCACCCGGCCATTCTTGTCTCCATTTGACAGACGGATCTCTTTCTGGAGGCTGGACAAACCGGGCCGATTCTGCACTGCATTGGGCGCGGGATCTTTGATCTCGTCTTCCGGGCGGGTGGCGTTCTGCGCGAGGTATGTCCGCAGGGAAGCAAGATATGGCTCTAGGTCGCTGGTTATCGAGACGGTAGCCATTGTTGGGTCGGCAATACGACGACAACACGTTGGCGACGATAATGATGGATATGTGCTGGACACGCTGAGACACTGAGAGCTCTTGGTGTGTTGTTTGTTTCTTTATTACGATCTGACGGTCCAGGATATCAGCGTGGCGTTTGGGTATTTTCCTGTAATGAGAATGATTACGGACTTTGGGGCCTTAGACCATCGGTGAGCGATCTCACGATACGTTTCGTCTGATAGTAGAAGCTGCGAATGGGCGATAACGGTCCGAGTCGCTAGCGAGTTGTGTTGGTTTACTCTGGCGAAGTGTGGCGCATGGGATAATGACAATGCAAGAAATCGTTCGTCGCTCTCGGTGTCCTTGGGTATACAGCTCGGTAGGAGATTACGACAATCTGGCTGTCTGTAGTAGTTTGGTGATGTCGCACGGGTCAGCCGAGAGGAGGTCGACAATCAAGACGAATGGTTGGTTCCGCCTTGGAAGTTGAGGGGTCTCTGCGCGGGGACAATCAGAATGGAGATCTGCATTGGGTGCGGGAGGTTGCTGTTGGAGTTGGATGACGGTGTTGCGTGGGCTGGTGAAGGAAGAAAGGGAGAGGGAGAGGGAGAGGAGGGTATTTAAGCGGTGCTCGGATTATATCTGCCCCGGTTGTCTATATGTACGGAGCCCATGGGTACCTCGTTGGATACGGAGTAGTACTCCGTAGCGTCAGTTTTTTAAGGGCCTCTCTATACTCGAAAAGGTGAACTTTCCCCGAGAGGGGTCGACACTAGCTGTTTTGAGTAGGTGGGCATCGCCGCTTAACGGTCCCTCTTAATAGTTCGTCTTCGTCGGAATAGATCCATGCATCATATTTCATTCTTTCTAATCCTTTAAGCTACAAAATACTTGAGGCAATACTTGCGAGATGTGATTTAAGTACCTACCCGAACTTCCCTGATCGTACTCATTCTTTTTTGAGGAATATAGCTGGACACTAAACCCCTACCGCATGTCCTGATGAGGACCGGGTCTGCTCGATGTATGGGCTGAAATCCACACTCGCGGGCGTACTCTGATGTGATCTGGCAAGACTTAATGCCTGCACAAGTCCGCGATAAATATCCATTTGTATATGAGCCCGAGGCACGAGGGTCCTTTGTTTAAGGTCGATTTGACACTACTTGTGATATGAAGACCCTGATGCACGCGGGAACTCGCCAGCTCTAGACTACCTAGTCTAGTAAACCGTGATCCACAAGATTATTCGGGGTTGGAGTTGTGTCTGTCGCCCGGGGTTTCTTGTATGGATGAAAGAATGCCTGGGCTTCTGTCCGAGGATTGTGCTTCTCGCCTTCTGCGCGCCCTCGGATGCATGTTTAGTCTCTGTGCTTGGGGGACATAACCACAGGAAAGCAGCCGCTAGCTTGTCCACGAACTCGCCAGTCTGCGGGCGTTTGTTCCACCCAGCCATTCAAAAGCCATTCCTTGCCCCAGGTGGTGGGAACTGAATATGCACGCCGGGGACATCGTAGGGGCATGCTATCTGTGTTGACTGTACCTGGCCCTTGTTGCGGCCTGTCTCTGCAGTAATACGAATTCCAGTTGGGGCTTGACATGGAAACGTGCAAGAACCTTAATTAGTTGGTGATTAGTTAAATCAAATGTACATTCACTAAGCGAAGGATCCTGTATAGATCCGCCCATCGCCCATCCCTTCCCAAGGATGATACCATGTCATCGGACGAGACGATGAAAATCCTCACCTTTCTTGGCATGACATAGCCATCCAGCCTGCACGCGACAATCGTATTGTCCCAATCAAGCTCTTTTGAGGATGGCCCGTGGCACTCGTCATGTTGGAGATTGACGGCATCCTCATTTGCCCACACCCGTCGCCAAGGGACTTGGGAGTGGAGATTCCCAGCAACAGCCTCAGGGCTCGACAAGTCTGAACATCATCTACGTCGCCTTCGGGGTCTGATTCGTACCTGTCTCGGCGCGAGGTTAATGATCAACCCACGGGGGTGATGGTGTCACTCACTATGATGTAATGGAGGCGAGGGTTCTTTAAGTATATCACCATTTCCGAACGTCCCGTCCACAACTCTCAAGAGACACCTATATCTATCTTATTAGCGACATCAATATCTACACAACTTTTGACATATATTCCGACTTTCTTCGCAAACACACGGCCCACCATGGATATCGTCCAGAAGTATGGCTATCTCAAGCACGACCGGGAGCGCCGCTCTTCGCGAACGCTCGAGGAGGAGATCGCCCACTATGAAAACCAGCAGGGTAGGCTGCGTGCTTCGCTAAGCTTTAGTCTAAACTGACGAGTCGTCTGTGTCTAGCTTTGAATTCGTTGCTTGGCAGGTTTGGCCATCCTGATAATGACCATCCGGATCGGAGATCGAGTGGTGCGGGGAACATGACGGCTGACATGCGAGAGGCGAATCGGTGCGTCCTGTTTTCTTTAGATTCTTCTTGAAGGTGTTGTGACTGACTGGCTTATAATGTGTAGGCGACTGTCGATGCAGGATTCGATGCCGGTGCAAAACCCGCCGCAGGACCGGGAGCCAAAGTCGCCAAAGTCGTGAGATGGTTGATGAGATGATGTATTTTAGTACCCATTCATTTTCATACAGAGTACAGAGACATAATAGCTTTCAAGTTCAATGTTACGGCCATACTGGTCACATTCGGACATCCAGAAAAGCGCGGGAAATACTAACCCATCCAGGCAACCCAATCCAGTAACCGTCGCATCGACGCCGTAACTTATCCTATCATTTTTATCATCGGCCCATCCCCTCACTACCCCTCACAGTCCCGGATAGCAATCGCACCTCGTCCAGTATCCGTCTGCAGAAGCTGGATCCGAGCATCTTCGCAATGCGCTGCTGGATATCGCAGCGGTCGTATATGTTAGAAAGAAGAGGGAATATAGCACGACGAAGCTCACTATAAAGTAGTGACGGAAACCCAGATTATCCTAGATGATATTCTCGCCAGTCTTTTGAGCTGTTCGATATAAACTGAAAGTGATCATGGCCATCCCTTTCACCTACCACGCCAAGGCGCAATCGACCTTCAAGCCCCCGTTGATCGCAAACGAGAATGCCTTCCTAGGAGACATCGAGTCCAGGTATATAGACCCAGGGCGTTCTGGTACATCACTAATTTCGACCAGTGACAAGCGAAACCCCGACAAGCCTATGTCCGCAGGCTTCTACCGGTTGGAAAAGGGCACACCTCTAGTCTACGAATACACCTATGACGAGATGAAGATCATCCTGGAGGGTGAATTCGAGATTGCCGACGAGACGGGCCAAAAGGTCACGGCGAAGCCGGGTGATGTGTTCTATTTCCCTAAGGGGGCTAAAATCACGTTCACGACACCGTCGTACGGATTGGCTTTCTATGTGAGTCTCACATTCTTCCACCGCAGAGGAGGGCACCAATCCCGTGGTGAGGGCCGGGCTAATTGGTGATAGACTGGGCAAAGGGCTCAGGGCGCCGCGTAACCCGGAGAAGGCTTCCAGTCGATCGCAGGATCTGGGCTTGGAACGATGGAGCCTCCAAGGGATCGTTTTTCCGGCGAGTGGTGTTTGTTTGGGTCGGCCGACCTCGGGACCATGGATCGGGAGCTCCACCGATATCTACGGGCGATGTAAACAAACGGGGATGAATAGATCTCAATATGCGATTGAGTCCATTGGGAATGTGTTGCGTGTAGAATCGAAACGGACAAGTGTATTGGAGGATGCGGATGCAGAGTAATATATGTCTCCAGGACGACATCACCCCCCGTCAACAAATCTCATGATGTACTTCGTACGAGATGGAAAGCTCAGCCAGCCCCGTGGGTCAGAGATGATCTCACACATCTCACCCGCTCTTCAGCTGCAAAGGACCTCAGCCTCTCACTAGTGGGAAATGACGTGCAGGGCTCTGGACGCTGGAATCCGATCCATGGACCTCCCAGGGCGATGGGAACCCAATCAGAAGACGGTGCCTTGCAAAGCTAGTCCGATTAACTCGGGATCCTCGCCTGGAATCACCGACAGAAGTGGTGAAGATGCAGTCGAGATGGGAGTTGCTGGGGGAACGAGGACAGCAGAGCGCAAGGAGGGAGGCGCAAGGAGGGGCGGCGGGAATCCTGTTGGTCGGTGGGGGACCGGCCTGACCAGCTTGGGTTGTACTTCTCCCATCCTCTACCTTCAGCTTCACCCTCTCCCTCCCTCCCTTCCTCTCTCTCTCTCCTTGTTTGCTTTTTCCCATTCATCTCCTCCACCTTCTTTTTCTCTTCACTCAGTCTGCTCTGTTGGGACTCTCTCCATCGGACTCCACCGAGTATCTTCCCTCTATCCTCCCCTTCACGAGTGTCTCGTCGCAAACAAAGCCATTCTTCCCGGTCTCGAATCGGAAGTGGCTGCGCTGCGACCGTCGTTGGCCGTTTCTTTGTCTCGCCGAGAGCTCTTTGTGCTTCTTAGCTGTTCTTTTCCAGGATCCGGGTTTCTCCCTGATCTTAAATTCCTGCATCTCATCGTGATTATACGAAGCTCCTCGTTTCTTTTTCTCGATCCACCGATAACAAGCCCCCATCGTATTTCTCCGGCGGAGCCCCTCGCCCTTCTCTCAGGGTGCGTCGCCTTTGATCTCAGACGCATCACATTTGTGCCATCGCTCGATCCACCGACCCCGTCAGTCATGGCTTTGAATCTCGCGCACGAGGCGACCGATCGTTCGGGCCTGCGACTGCCCAATCCTCCTCCACTGCTCCACACGCGATCCGGGAACGAGCCTTTGGATCGCCCATCCACTCCAATTCAAAATGCATTCACCAGTCCGATGCACACCCCGCAAGGAAGTCCCAGCAAGAACAAAGTTCCTCCCGGCGCCCTTGATCTGCCCAGCGTCTTCGAAAAGGCCATGAAACTCACCCCTACCTCGCCGACCAAGGCCACCTACAACCACTACAACCACCCAATGTTCTCCCCGCCCAAGGCTCCGGGTGAGGACTTCAATGAGAGCGTCATCCGACAGCCCCCCAGCCCCACCCGCAAATCCAATAAAGAGAATACTCCGCCGAATTCGACCCGTCTGGGGAAGGACCTCGGTCCCAACCCTGCAGCGGCCGCCATCTCGCGCCAGGAGGCCTATAAAACCCGCGACGCGGATAGTATCCAGAGACGGCAGGTCCAGATGCGCGGACTGACACCGGAAGAATTGGAAAAACTGCAAGATCCAAAAGTCAAACGACTGGTCAACGTCACTCAGCTCTGTAGGTGGTGCGCGTAAAAGGTATGCAATGAGCGCCGCTAATGTCTGCAGATTTCCTCGACCATTACTTCGACCTTCTTAGCTATGTGCACAACCGTCAGAACCGCTACTCTCAGTTCCGCGCGGCATACCCCGACCCTCCGGCCACCCCGATGGAAGAGTTCGAGCCGGCACTGCTGAAATACCTCGGACGCGAACGCGCACACCTACGCAAGCGCCGCACGCGACTGCGCCAGCATGATTTCCAGATCCTGACCCAGGTCGGTCAAGGTGGATACGGACAGGTGTACCTAGCTCAGAAGAAGGACACTCGGGAGGTTTGCGCTCTGAAAGTGATGAGCAAGAAACTTCTCTTCAAGCTGGACGAAATTCGACACATCCTGACGGAACGTGATATCCTGACGGCCGCTAAAAGCGAGTGGTTAGTGAAGCTGTTGTATGCGTTCCAGGATGACGAACAGATCTATCTGGCGATGGAATACGTTCCTGGAGGAGATTTCCGGACGCTGCTGAACAACTCGGGCGTCTTGCACAATCGCCACGCCCGGTTCTACATTGCGGAGATGTTCAGTTGCATCGACGCTCTCCATGCGCTGGGCTATATTCATCGCGATCTGAAGCCCGAGAACTTCCTGATCGACTCTACTGGCCATGTGAAACTGACCGATTTTGGTTTGGCTTCCGGGATGCTCAACCCCGGCAAGATTGAGTCGATGCGGGTGAAACTCGAAGAAGTCGGCAACACTCCCGTCCCATTCGGGCGCCCGATGGAACAACGTACCGTCGCGGAGCGACGTCAGGGGTACAGAACCCTCCGTGAGCGTCAAGTCAACTACGCAAAGTCGATTGTGGGATCACCGGACTACATGGCCCCCGAGGTCCTGAAGGGCGAGGAGTATGACTTTACGGTGGACTACTGGAGCTTGGGATGCATGTTGTTCGAGGCGCTCGCAGGCTATCCTCCGTTCGCTGGGTCTACGGTGGACGAGACGTGGCAGAACCTGAAGAATTGGCAGAAGGTGTTGCGCAAACCGGTTTACGAGGATCCGAATTACTTCCTCTCTCGGCGTACTTGGGATCTGATCACGACCTTAGTTGCGTCCAAGGAGAAGCGCTTCAAGAACATCCAGGAGATCCATGCCCATGACTATTTCGCCGAAGTCGACTTCTCGCGTCTGCGCGAGCAGCAGGCGCCGTTCGTCCCAGAACTGGATTCTGAGACGGATGCGGGCTACTTCGATGACTTCTCCAATGAGGCGGACATGGCGAAGTACAAGGAAGTGCACGACAAGCAACGCGCATTGGAAGAGATGGCCGAGCGTGAAGACAAGATGAGCAAGGGCTTATTCGTCGGGTTTACGTTCCGGTAGGTGCTGGCCCTTCACCCGTCAGAGGATACCAAGCTAACCAATGCAGTCATCGAAAACCCGCCATGGATGGAACTGGCCGCGTATCTCCGCGCAAACCCATCGCAACGGATGGGACGTTTGGCACGATTTTCTGACCGCGTTCTCCACATTCTCTTCGTCTGGACACGGTACGAGCTGGCTCTCGAAGACCATGACCACGATCTGTTTGACTGAGCGAGTATGGTTTAATGGCAATGTTTGATGGCACGTATGCATTATCGGTTTGAGGTCATGGTCCGGAGTTGAGTGTTTTGTATGATACATAGAGGTATCGTAGACTGGTAATACAACTCTATCTTAAAAAGATAAATCAAAAGGTCAGCCTGCGCATTCGCGCATTCGTAGCTTAATCCACATCCAACTGATGCACCATCTTCAAAATCTCCGACTCATTATCTCCCACCACGGCGCGTCCATTCGTCCAGTCGACAGTCTAGCAGATTGGTTAGCAATTCCCATGCACAAGGGACCCCTGTCCGAAAGGTAGACAAGACATACAATCGGCCGAACGAACACCCCCTCCCCACTCTCCTTGAACCGCTTCACCGCATCCTCCGCGTCCTTCGCGCCGCGAATCACCTCACCGACGCCGTACTGCACCGTGTTCTGGCTGGCGCCGGCCGGGTTCGCCGTGACGTAGTCGAGGATGTTGCGCAGCTGGTCAGCGGTCGGCGGCGCGGTGGTGATTTCCAGCTGGAACTCGCCGCGTTTCGATGCGACGGTCTCGGCTTCAGCGGCTGCGGAGGCTTGTTTGAGGATGTTGAGGACGCGGGTCGATGAGGGTACCGACGGCGAGTGGAAGAGCGTGATCGGGTCGAGGGTTTTGGCCTGCGCTGTTTGTTAGGAGTCTTGGTGTGGGTGTGGGCGTCGTGGGACGTACGAATCGGAAGACCATTGTGGCGGTTATTGATTGCTGAGTGTGGGATGTATGGGAGTGTTGGAGGAAATTTGGAGAGGATGAGTTGAGAGATGGATGGTGATTGATTACGTCATATCGGGATGGATACGCCCAAACCACGGCACATATCGGAGGTTAAGTAGATTTATCTTCTATTTTATCTACACGTTCTGCAGAACCTCGACAATGCACCGCGCCACATACTCGACGTTTTCCGGGTTTAGTCCCGCGATCGAGATCCGCGAATTACTCGCCATGTAGATGTGATGTTTCTCTGTGCATGTTAGCCGTTCCATCATGCGAACCATCTGCCGCTACAGAACACACACACCTTTCAGTATCTTGACTGCGCTAGGAGGCAGTCCCAGAAACCCAAACATCCCCGATTGCCGGAGGAGGTGATCCCAGCTGCCTGGTGTTGTACGTAGTCAGCATTGATACCGTGGTAGCGCAAGGCATACGCACCGTTCCGCGCAAGATGATCATACAACGCACGCCTCATCGCCTGAATGCGCGCACTCATCGTCTTCAGATCCTCAAACCACGCCGCCCGCAGCGCCTCGTCGCCGAGGATCCGCGCGGCAATGCGCGCGCCGAACGCCGGCGGATTGGAGATCTCGGACCGCTGGAGGGATTCCAGCAGGGACTGGCTGTTTGTCGCGGCGTGCTCGGTCGCTGTTGCAAGAACCAGACAGCCGACGCGTTCGCCTGCGTCAATTGTCAGTACGCATTGCGGCACATTCCCTCCAGGCAGAACTCACCGTAGAGACCCATGTTCTTCGCAAACGACAGGCACACCGCCGCCTCTAGCTCCAGCTCGTGGATAAAGTGGCGGATCGCAAAGGCGTCATGGTCGACGTCCCCGGAGTTAAATCCGAGGTACGCGGCGTCAAATAGCGGGAACAGATCCCGCTGTTTTATGATCTGGCCGATCTCCATCCACTGGTCGTGGGTTGGGTCGAGCCCGGTGGGATTGTGCGCGCAGGCGTGTAGGATGACGATCGACCCCGGGCGCGCTGAGTACAACGTCGCGCGGTACGAGTCCATGTCCATGGTTTTAGTGGCCGGGTCGTAGTACCGGAAGGACTGGCATTCGAAACCGAGGGTCGAGAATACAAAATGGTGGTTTGACCATGTCGGCTCGGGAATGTAAACTGTCGTTGAGGACGGCTGACAATCTCGGAGAATACGGCCAGCGAGGTGGAGCGCTCCCGTTCCTGACAATGTCTGGCAGGTCGCCAGCTGCATATTATCATGAGTCTCGTCCTTGGACGACGGAGGGGAGCGAGAGTGACCTTGTTGCGTCGCGCGGCATAGGAAGACGCACCCAACGCCAGCGCTGCGGCGTGCTCACGGAACTCGGCCAGGCCCAGGATGGGGAGGTATTCGTGCTGCAGGCCCTGCTCGAAGATGAGCTGCCGGCTTCGGGCGACGGACGGCAGGACCCATGGCTGGGCTTTGCTATCGCGGTATGCGCCTTGTCCGAGGTTGACCTTCTGCGGGAATGGGTCTGCGAGGTATTCGGCCGTGAGGGCGAAGATGGCATCAGGAGGGACATAGGGTGCTGTGGCGAAGCGCGAAGCTGGGGTTGTAGAACCCATGATGGTTGTAGTACAGTAGGTGGTGGGCGAACAGAGACTGCCTGTTCTATACATATACGGGGCACCCCGCATAGATATACCTAGATCTTGAGAGTATATAGAGACTCGGCATGGCAGCCGATGGATATCGGGGAGGACTTCCGAGTGTCGTATCGAACATGATGTAGCTAGCCACACACATAAAGAATAAATATCTTAAATAATTTATGAACAGCACTACCTTGTAAGCACCACTTCAGGCAGAAAATAGCAAAGTGCTGTCGGCGCAACCGTAAACCTCTCGGGAGGGCAGCCGTTCGGGTGTATAGACCGGAATACCAAACTACTACAATCTTCTTCTGGTCCACAAACATGTCAATCTCCGGCGCGGGGTCAATATGCTGTCGTATCGGTCCCCTTGCCGACCACATTTGTTCCACCTGTCGAAGTAGCCGGTATATGAATCTCTGTAGCAAGTTCACGGTCAACTACAACTTACACCTCCTGACCATCATGGAAACCGACCTCGTCGATGTACCGCGAGACTACCTCTCCGGTCCCATGAAAGAGGTGATCGTAGGCGCAGCTGGAGGCATCACCCAAGTGTTAATCGGTGTGTCTGACCAAGCAGAGCATATTCCTACTGACGCCCTCCAGGGCAGCCATTCGATATCGTCAAAGTGCGCATGCAAACCCAGGCATACTCCGGCGCAGCGCACGTAGCACTGAACATATGGCGACAGGAAGGACCCCTAGCCTTCTACAAGGTATCGTCCTGTACACATTGATAACGCCCTCTACTGACTGCATAGGGGACCCTTCCTCCCCTCCTAGGAGTAGGAGCATGCGTACGTCAGCCCTCCACCCTACGATTCCGTCTCTCACAAGCCCACAGATAAGCATCGTGTACACCTCCTTCCACGGTTTCTCCACAGCCATCCACTCCCTCACCCCAGACCGCCCATCCCTAACACACCCGCAAACCTACCTAGCCGGCGGCCTCGCCGGCCTCAGCAACAGCGCAATCTCCGGCCCGATGGAGCACATCCGGATCCGTCTGCAAACACAGTCCGCGACATCGTCGCAGCCGTACACGAGCGCACAAGACTGCATCCGCCGCATCGTCCAGCAGAGCGGGCTCGCTGGGCTCTACCGCGGCCACTCGGCCACCATGCTGCGCGAATTCCACAGCTACGGGGTCTGGTTTTCCGTGTTTGAGGTGCTGATGGCGGCGACCATGCGCGCCGAGGACAAACCGCGCGACCAGATCGCTGGGTGGAAAATTGCGGCGTGCGGCGCGCTGACGGGTGAGGTTCTCTGGACGGTGAACTATCCGTTTGACGTTGTGAAGAGTAAGATGCAGGCAGATGGGTTTGGGGTGGACCGGAGGTATGCCAGTACGCGGGATGTTGTGTGGCAGACGTGGAGGGCGGATGGGGTTGGGGGGTTCTTTCGGGGCTTGGGGCCGACCCTGTTGAGGGCGTTACCTGTGTCTGCGGGGACTTTTGTCGTGTGAGTGTTTTACTCTGTTGTTGAGTATATTGCTGACAGGTGTAGGGTTGAGGCTGTGCGTAAGAGGCTTGGTGATAGCGGTTGAGGGAGTATGCGGAGTGGCATAGTGGTACTACACATTGGCGTGGCAAATGACCTCAATACTCATATCACTTGACTATCATCAATATCTTTTAGTGAAGTAGATTCCTTCAGCGTCGGGATACAGGCCCGACAATCCGCCTACACACTCTCGTATTCCACTGCACGACGATTGGACTACCCAAATCTATATAAACACAACACGAACACCACCAACACCCACTGAACATCAACCAGAATAACAAAATGGTCGTCCCAAAAACCGAAAAAGACACCCATCAGATCGAAAAGGCCAAAGGCCTCCAATCCGTCTGCTGGGGCGCCGAGTACGAACGCATGATCTCGGGCATGCTGTACATCCCTCCTCCCTTCATACCAACGCCCACACTCACAAGGCAATTAGCTACTCCCCCGTCGCCCCCGAGCTCATCGAGGGCCGCCTGCGTGCCCGGCGTCTGATGGCGGAATTCAACACCCCTCCGCACCCCGACACGCCCGCCGCAGAGATGTCCTCCCGCCGGGAGACCATCCTGCGTAGTCTGTTTGGTCGCGCCAGCGGGGACGTGTACATTGAGCCGCCGCTGTTCGTGGATTACGGGTGCAATATCAGCGTTGGGGACGGGTTCTATGCTAATTTCAAGTACGTCTGTTCCTCCTGTTCGTGAACTGTGAGCGAGTGTTGAGTGCTGCATAGTCTCACTGTTCTGGACTGTGGACTGGTCACCATCGGGGACCATGTGGAAATCGGTCCCAATGTCAATATCATTACCGGGGAGCATGAGACGGATATTGAGGCGCGGAGGGCGCACCGGGGACTGGAGTTCACGAGGGAGATCATCATCGGGAATGACTGTTGGATAGGCGCAAATGTGACGATTCTGGGTGGAGTGACGATCGGAGAGGGGAGCTCGGTGGGTGCTGGGTCGGTGGTCAAGCGAGATGTGCCGCCGTTCAGTGTGGTGGTTGGGAATCCCGCGAGAGTTGTACGGTCAGCGCGGAAGGAAGTATAGCAGGAACCAGAAACTGGAGTATATGTGAATTCGGGATATCGAGTATTCGTGATAAGCCATACAGTCATGACGAATGCAAATATATACAGAAGAAATACAGGTCGAGCAAATCACCACCCGAACTTTTCAACATGCAAGTATATCCCTTGCGCACCGGTCCCTTTGTGAACAGCCCGCTCATCGCTCAGATACACGACGCTCCGACGAACGTCGTCAGACAATCCTTCGGGTCCACATACGACCACCGCACTCTCGCCCTCGGCTCGCTCCAGGACCTTCCGGATGATAGTGCGGGGCTGTGGTCGACCGGAGACAATAGGCAGGTAGTGCGATACAGACTCCACTCGCTCAAGGACGGGTTCGGTTGACGCAGTGTTCTTTTCAGAGTCTTGTTTCTCTGGCTGTGGCTGAGGCGCATGGCCGGAGCAGGTGCACGTGTATTGAGTGATCTCGTCTTCGTCCTCCACAGAGGCTGTGCAGCAGCAACATCCGCCGCTGGGTAGACAGCCGGTCTTTGGTGCAGTGTCCGAGGCAGGTGATGAGTTGGAGTGGATGGAAATCTCATCGATGACTTTCTTCTCGTCCCCTGGCTTCTCGACGGGCGCTGCGCCCGTGCTGACAACGATGGGCGCCTGTGGGACAGGCTTTGAAAGTAGCGTGGACCCAGGCTGAGCCTCCAACTTCTCATCGCAAGTTACATAGATGCTGAGCTCGACTTCGCGGGGAAAGTCAGGCTGCGCGCGTTGGCAGGCTTCGACATCCGCAAGCACGGATTGAAGCTGTGTCTCGCACCAGCTGAGCTGGGCTCGCGATTTGATCACCCACACGAAGCGGAGTCGTTTTGTGGTCGTCAACCGAGTCTTTAAGCATGTATCCCGGCTGCACTCTGTCTTCCATCGGGAAACAATGTCCCGTAGACAGGGAAGTGTGTAGGTGATGCCCATGCCTCCGGCAATGAGGACCACGCTGTCAAATTGATGCAGGGAACGGATCCTGCCGTACGGACCGTCGATGAAGACCGTGCGGAATTTTTGAACCGGCGCGGTGTCGCTAGTTCCGAGGATGTTGTGGGATTTGGAAGCGTAGCGGAAGAACCGTTTCGTGCCGCCCTTTTCAGCACGAACGAGGAACTCCATTTTGTTGTCATCTGGTATCGAAGATATGGTGAACGGGTGGCTCTGCAATGGGGCGATAGAGTGACAGGTGAGGAAGACATGCTGTCCGGGCTTCCAGCGCACCCCCGGATTCTCGATGGTGATCCGAGTGACATTGCCCGGAAGCGGTGTGAAGGAGGCACGGTTAGCCCACAGCGGGTGATTCTTGGATGAAGGGTGGAACATTGACAAATTTGCGTATGTTGCCCATGCATAGCGGGCGACTCGGTCAAACACTAGAAAGCCGATGGAGATCCACACCCAGACCTTGACTTCCGCTGGCGCATGCAGCCAGACGGCGACGACGAAACCGACGAATGTGACGAGATGCTGAAGGACGAAGATCTCGTAACTTAATCGACGGACCGGAGCCATTGAAGTGAGAACGATGAAGGTGAGGATGCACCATGCGGCGAATCCTCGTTTGGCTAATGCGTCGTTTCGCAACTGGTGTACGATGTAGTTGTAACGACCCCAGCTGCGGAACCAAAATCCCATGTGAATGGTGGCAGTCAGCCAGAGAGTTCGCGCAACCCATCGATGGAACCAGTTTAACCGTTCGTAGCTCATGCCGACAAAGAGACCGATCAGGTTCTGTCTTCCCGCCAGCAGGAAGATCAGTGGAAGTTGGGCGAGGGCTACAAAGCCCGTGCGATAGCCGACATCCTCCCACTTCCACTGGTTGGTGGTGTCCAACTTGTAGAAGCAAAAGACCAGGACGACCACGAGATTGGCGAGAACGATGGCGAGTGGTCCCAATGGCGCAAAGTGGACAGTCCGGCCACCGATTGATAACGGCGGGAGTGTCGCATAGCTGGCTTCTCGCACAATGGCGGTTAAGGTCGCGTAAGAGTTGAAAAATAGCGACTTGGGTTTGGATGGCGTGAGGGTGGTGTCGCGGAGTCTACCGTCATTAATGACCGACTTCTGGAACGGTGTTCAAAGGGATCCGGCTACCATACCTCTGTACGGCGAGAAAGCGATTGAGAATGTTAACGACTGTCCCCGCGGCGATAGCACTACCTACGACCGCCCAGTACATTTTCTGCAGGTAGAAGAGACTGGGGACACCATCACCCATGGACATGGAGCCCATATGGCCCATGTCCATTCCGCTCATGGACATGATGGTAAGAGAGGATGAATGGATGTTGGAGAGGAGGTCGAAGAAGTTCACCAGTGTTGCAAATGATAAATGATAAGAGGTCATACATCTGAAATCGGCCTAGTCCGTATTAAGCATAGATAGTAATAATCTGCTCAATGGAGAGATCTCCCCGCCTGCTGATTGGTGGGGTCAGGAAAATGTGCGCACCTCCCCTCGAGGCCACGCGCCAATCGGGCGGCAGAGAATGTGCTCACTCTGGATCCAGCTCTATCCACTTTGGGATTCTTTCTTGGCTGGGCCGCGTTCATTTCGTCCATGATTTAAAAAGATCCGGTGTATCAGTCATGATGCCATTAAGACACTCACGTTTCTTCTCGTCGGTGTTGATACCTCGCGGGTTCTTCTCTTCCCTCTACCATCCTCCCGTCACCTTGTCTACAAATCCCGCGGCATCATGGATATGAGCAATATGGATCACTCGGACATGTCCTCGTCCTCTTCGTCTTCCTCGCACTCGATGTCTATGGCCATGGTGTTTATGAACGCTCACGACACACCTCTTTTCTCCTCGCAATGGACTCCCTCGTCAACGGGCTCCTACGCGGGCACTTGTATCTTCCTCATTATCCTCTCCATCATTGCCCGGTTACTGGTCGCCTTCAAAGCCGTCATGGAGCGACATTGGTTGGCGGTCCATCTCAACCGTCGCTATGTGGCCATTGCAGGCAAATCCACCGAGGCTGGCCGCATTGACGCCGACCCGGATGCAAAGACCGCATCATTGGTGACGGCTCAAGGCGTCGAGGAGTCGGTCAAGGTGGTGCGCCGATTGACTCACGAGCCTATGCCGTGGCGGTTTAGCGTGGACCTGCCCCGCGCGTTCATATTTCTCTGCATTACTGGGGTTTCCTATCTACTGTAGGTTTGCTTCTTGCCGGGTGGACGTGGATGGAGTGGCATACTAACTGCGACTAGAATGTTGGCCGTCATGACCATGAATGTGGGGTATTTCTGCTCCGTCTTGGGAGGGGCCTTTCTGGGGGAGCTCATGGTCGGCCGATTCATCCAGTGGGATGAGCACAGCCATTAAGCCGTGTTTATGCGCTACGACTGGGCTGGATGCATTGAACGGTTCGATTGACATCGGGTGTTTTCAGCGCAATTGCATGGGTTTGGCGTTTGTCGGATTATTTGAACTAGATACCACTCTGTCATTTGAGAAGCAGCAAGATTATGAGACATTTACCTGTAGTCTCTTCTTTTATCTCCTACCCAGGGATTTCATTCCTAACTGTAAGGAGTATAATCTGGCCCACGGGCCCAGGGACGAGGTCTGGCGGAACCAGCAACTCTCCCGCCGCTGAGAAGAAATGAGCACATTTTCTAGCCGCTTTGGTCCTAGACTGAGATCATCTCTCATACCAAGATCGAGTGACACGAGTAACACTGCAGAAAAGCAACATCAATCAGCTAATACTTTCCAGCAGAATTAATCTCCACCAGTGCCGAATCCCGTGTTGACAGTCCCTGTGCTTCCTTCCTGCCAATTTCGTAGCTCCAGTATATATACAACCTATATAAGTCCCCGAATTTCGTAACACCATCAACACTCACCACCTCACCATCTTCTCCCGTCAGACCGCACCATTTCTCTCAACACCAATCATGAAGCTCTCCGTCCTGTCTCTCGCCTCGCTGGCGCCTCTTGTGGCTGCCCATTTTGAACTGAACTACCCGCCCAGCCGGGGAGTCGACGAGGACAAAATGACCCAATTCCCTTGTGGTGGTCTCGCTGTCTCTTCCAACCGCACCCAGGTCTCCCTGTCAGACCCTTCGTTCCCCGTGGCACTGACCATGGGCCACGATGAGACTGCCCTTGAAGTCCTCTTGGCCCTCGGAAGCGATCCGGGTACCAACTTCAACATCACCCTGAAGCCGACCTTCCGTGTCGAGGGCCTCGGCTCCTTCTGTATCCCCACCATCGCTCTCGACGCTTCCGTCCTGGGCACCAATCTGACCGAAGGGATGAACGCGACCTTGCAAGTGCAGTCCAATGGTGACCCCTCCGGTGGTCTCTACTCAGTATGTGGTTCCCCTTGACATCTCACACTTCTCGATGGTTTCCATTATACTGATGCCGGTTCAGTGCGCCGATATCCAGTTCTCTGCTAGCGCAACCTCCTCCGAACCCTCATCCTGCAAGAACGGAACCGGCGTCACCGCCATTGCTTTCACTGGAGCAGCTGCCCAGCGCAATGCTAACGAGTCGACCGCAGAAGGCCAGGCGCAAAGCGGCAGTGGTAGCTCCTCAGGCTCCTCAGGCTCCTCGGGTACCGCCACCTCCACAGGTGGTGCGGTGCCGCTCCAGACAGCCGCCTGGGGAGTACTGGGGGCTGCTATGGCGGGTGGTCTTGCGATTCTTTAGAGTGGATGTTTTGAATTGGATTCCCAGGCATACCTGATAGGGACGGATTATGATTAAGTGTACCCGAGTCATGAGAGATGATAACTGGCCCACATCCTGTACAGTACATAACGAAAAAGGGCAATGCAGTGCGCATTCTTAATCTCATATCATATCTACTAAGTCATGTTTCGATCTCCGATCGCCATCGCTAGGGTTTTGGTACGGTCACGTGCGCCCTCTGCCATATTAAGTCTAAGCCACACCCTTTGGACTTTCGTGTCTTCTCAACACCGTCATCTCCATTAATATTGTGACGGACCAGAACGACACCTCCAACGACATGGATACTCTCACAAAACTGCGTGACGTTGGTAGGTGCGCGATTGGGTGTCCAGTGGCCATCGGTTGATCTTCTCCAGGACGCATCGAGCAGTACTCTACTGCCCGCCATCATCTAAAATACTACAACAATGTCGCAGTCGCGGCAACGTATACATTGCCGGAGACATTTATACTCCCAGTACAGGACTATATCTACAAGGCTTGCGAAACCCTCGTCGGCCAACACCCCGTGCTTTCTGCAATCCCTCTGCGGGAAGACACCAATAAACCCTACTGGGCACGTCTCCCAGAGGTTGACCTCGGTCATGCAGTTCAGTTCAGACAACGCACCGTCCCCATCTCTGAAACGGATGACCACGACTCTGAGCTGAACGAGGTCCTGCAAGAGCAGCATAACACCCCGTATACCGCTCCACATCCGTACTGGCGGCTCTGCGTCTTGACCGAGACGACAGAGTCACGTCGCTTCACAGCAGTCTTCGTCTTCCACCATGCGCTTGGCGATGGAACCTCTGGAAAGGTCTTCCATCTGACCTTCCTGCAGGCGCTGCGAGCCGCAGCGTCCCTCGCACCCGGCGAAGCCAAACAAACCATCCCATCGCCGGATACCCCTCTTCTCCCGTCGCTGGAGGAAGCCCACCCCCTGCCTCTTAGCTTTGGCTTCCTCGCAAGCTCGATCTGGCACGAGGTGATCTGGCCCTCGCGGAGCCCCAGGTTATGGACCGGCTCGGAAATTCGCCTCCCGCTGGCGACTCGCATCCGACACATCGTCTTCCCAGAGAGCACCGCCTCAGCCTTCCGAAAACTCTGTCGTCAGAACGGCACGACCGTCACTGCGGCGCTGGACACTCTCATTTCGCGCGCGCTGTTCCGCCACGTCCCCGCGCAATTCACGCAACTGCAGACCTCCATCCCGATGTCCTTGCGGAAATTGCTCCCCGACCCCATCTCAGATGAGTCCATCGGAGTCTGGGTCTCCGACATCAAGGAGACCTTCGAGCGGAGCGCATTGGAGACGGAGTCCTTCCCGTGGAACGAGGCGAAGCGAGCGCGTGAGACGATCGAGAAGGCGGTAAATCGCGGGGCTAAGGATGTATCTGCCGCTCTCTTGAAGCTTCTCAACGACCTCCACAAGTACTTCCAGGGCAAGTTGGGGAAACACAGAGATAATAGTTTGGAGGTGTCGAACATCGGGGCCGTGGTTCCGGCTGATGTGGGGAATGATACGATCCCGCAGATCGGCCGGGTGGTCTTCACGCAATGTGGGAGTGTTGTCGGCTCTGCTCTTGAGACTTGTGTCGTCACTGGTGGCGATGGATGTCTGGTGTGGTCGTTCTGCTGGCAGGAAGGTGTGGTTGAAGAGGAGCTCGTTATGTCCGCCATGGAAACGGTGAAAACGGAGTTGAGTTCTCTGTGTTCTACATGAAGCATTATCTATATAAATAACTTTTGGTACCTGTAATATATTGTGCATTCTTAAAGACTCTAATATTAAGGTTGGTTTGTATACAATCGCGAGGCGGTGAGCCCGCCAATAACCTCGGCGGCAGAATCGCGGGGAGATCCTCCCTTTTATCGTTCGAAGATCCTCGTCTTCCTTCAACCAACATCGATATACCCCATATACCTGTCAAAATGCCACCTCGCGCCCCCTTCATCGTTCCTGCCCTTAAGAAACACACCGCTACGGTGATAATGGCCCACGGTCTAGGCGACAGGTCAGTCGAACCACTCCTACCGCGACACCCCAGCTAACAGTTCCTGGATATAGTGGCGCCGGATGGTAAGCAGTCAACTCGAATTCCCCCTACGTACCAACAATTGTCCAGCCAGACCTAACATGCGACAACGCAAAGGATGTTCCTCGCTCAGAATTGGCGTCGCCGCGGTCTCTTCGACGAAGTGACCTTCATCTTTCCCAATGCGCCCATGATCCCTATCACCGTGGTGCGCTTCCATACCGAAGACACTCTCGGTCTCCATGCGCTCGCTAACCACCGCTCAAATTAGAACTTCGGAATGTCCATGCCAGGATGGTACGACATCAGCAAGCTCGGCCGCGATGTACGCCTCACCCCATCCATCCCTCCGTCCACACCCCATTAACAACACCCAGCTCGACTTCGAAGAATCCATCCGCAACCAGGACGAACAGGGCATCCTCCGCACGCGCGACTACTTCAACACCTTGATCAAGGAGCAGATCGACGCGGGCATCAAGCCGTCGCGCATCGTGCTGGGGGGTTTCTCGCAGGGCGGCGCCATGTCCGTGTTCACCGGTCTGACGAACAAGGAGAAACTCGGCGGCGTGTTCGGGCTGTCGTGCTACCTGCTCCTCAGCGACCGCCTGAAGAACTACACGCCCGAAGACTTCCCCAACAAGAGCACGCCGTTCTTCCTGGGGCACGGGCTGGAGGACGAGATCGTTCCGCACCAGTTTGGCGCGCTGTCCGTGGAGAAGATGAAGGCGTTTGGGCTGGAGGATGTCTCGTTTAAGTCGTATCCGTGAGTATTCTCTCCTCTTGGTTTGGTGGTGCTGGGCGGGCTGACGCGTGCAGGGGGCTGGGCCATTCGGCGGACCCGGACGAGATCGAGGACCTGGAGGCGTTCCTGAATAAGACGATTCCCCCCGAAGGCGATGGACAGACGACTGCTGGTCTCTGACTCAGTGGGCAGAGTCCGACCCCCGGGTGGGGCATGCAGATACAGTATGGGTTCATACTAGGGTTGATACTTTTGGCGGTTGCGGTTGTGCTGCCGAGGTTTACCTCACGCGGTAGACGGGATATAAAGGAAGAGTAAACACGCATTTTACAACCGGTTGTCTTCGGGATGCACGGCTTAGATATCATCTTGGTTCTATATAATAAGCATATATTACCAGCCAAGTCTATTTACTGGCTCGCGCGCGCAATGGTCTTCTTGATCGTCGCAATCATGGCCTCCGTGTTCTTCAGATCAAACGGGATGAGATGCCGCGAGCCGTGGTCGTAAAACTCCGCCTGGGACGGGTCACACACGGCGTACAGCTTCATGCTCAGCGGGTAGACGGGGTCCTGCTTCCCAACGATGTGTGTTGTCGGGATCGTAATCGGGTACTTTTCCTCCGTGGCCGTGACAAACTCCAAGCCGTTGGCAGGGTCGTACGGCGCCGCCCCGCAAATGAACACCGCGAGCTTGAACAGAGGCTGATCATTAGTTCTGCCATGGTTGACCAGGAGCGAGGCCGCCAGCGCGGAGCCCTGCGAAAAGCCCATGACTGCGTCGAACGGTCCTCGCTTCGCTATGATATCCTTCACGTGGTCCATCGCTAGGCCGAGCTCCTCTCCCGGCGCTTGGTCACGGCGGTAATGGGTGAAGAAGGGAGGAATTCCAGCTCCCTGGAGATCTTATTCGGTTGTAAGTAAACAGAATGGAGGATGAGATGGGGGACTATTGCTATATCTACCTGGTTCAGGCGCAGACTCGACCCGTCCATCGACATATACAAATTCGTGACCCTCGTCCTCCAGAGCCTGGGTGATTCCACCTTGTCTGTTCAGTGACTGGAACGGGATGTAGTTTGTCAAGGTGCCATACCAGATTGGATTTCAAAGATCTGTCATTACTTTGTTAACGCTTGTTGGGCCGCACTGATGGAGTCACATACCTCGGCGCTGGTGCCGGCACCATGTAAACAGAGGAACCGCATTTTCGCGATGTAGGTCTCTTCAGCACTGTCGTTTCCGACTTGTGAAATTCGCTGTAGTCAGAATTTGTGGAGATTCTGCAAACTCACGAAGGGAGAAGTATCCGTGATTTTGGATTTGACCGTGTCGCCGGCCTTGAATCATGCACGAAGCACGGGATCTCGCTTCGCTGCCCCATTCAAGCGGTCAGCCTCGTCTGTTTTCCTCATCATTATTCCTACGATGCGATCTCCGGCCACATTGAATGGTGGTACTACTTGGAAACCATCCTCCATGTACCATTACGGCCTCCTACGTCAACCGGTCTCCGGTCTAGACTTCATGTGGACAGCCTAGCACGGGCCTTGTACCTCGGTCGCTTGGGGGTTCGGCGCGGTCTGCCGCTCGGTGATCATGGACTGAACTATTATGCACTTGCGGAGTCTACACAACCCTCTCTCGCATCAACAATTCGGAGGCTTATAGCACGTCTGTCTTGTCAAGATGAAACTCGAGCTGGAGGCGCTCAACGGCATCGCGAGCCATGCGCTTTTCCACCCCGTCGACATGCTTCTGAGCGTGGGACCCACGCTCAGCGAGACCACCTGCGGCCTGCTGGGCTCGTCATTCGACCCCGAACGAGACGTCCCCGATCTCTCAGGGAAGGTGATCTTTGTCACTGGAGGTATCTATCCTACGCCTTCTACCGGGTTCAGCCCCTCCGCCTCATACTAACCATCCCCCTTGATAGGAAACGCCGGTCTCGGAAAAGAAACCATCCTCCAGCTCGCGCGTCATAGCCCATCGCGAATCTACCTCGGCGCGCGAAATGCGACAAAAGCTCAGGACGCCATCGCCTCCATTGAGGCGGTCATCCCGACCCCCGTCGATATCCGCCACATCCCCCTGGACCTGACCTCCTTCCAGTCCATCCGGGCCGCGGCCGAGAAGTTCCATGCCGACTGCGATCGCCTCGACATCCTCATCCTCAACGCCGGCACCATGGCCAACCCGCCCGAGCTTACAGCGGACGGCTTCGAGATCCAGTTCGGCACCAATCACATCGGACACTTCCTCCTCACGAAACTGCTGCTGCCCACGCTGCAGAAGACGGCGGCGGCGCCCACGACTCCTCGCCCCGACGTGCGGGTCATCACCGTGAGCTCCATGGCCAACCACAGCGGCCCGTCGTTCGAAGTCATGACCTCCACGCCGGCGTTGCTCGAAGCCCACACGTTCATACGGTACAGCGCGTCCAAGGCGGCGAACGTGCTGTTTGCGGCGGAGCTAGCCCGTCGCTATCCCGAGATCATGTCGGTGTCGATTCACCCGGGCGCGGTGACCAGTGAGCTGTATCGGCATCAGCGCTCGATGGGTCTGGCCGCCAAGGTGAGCATTGGGCTCATGTCGGCGTTCTTCCGCAGTGTGCGCACCGGCGCGAAGAATCAGATCTGGGCGGCAACTGTGTCGCGGGACCGATTGATGAATGGAGCCTACTATATTCCCATTGGGACTCGCGGGTCGAGTCGGTTTGAGCGTGATGCGGATTTGGCGCGACGGTTGTGGGAGTGGACGGACGAGAAGGTGGCTTGAGCGGATGGGATGGGATGGTTGGTTATTTGATATTGGATAGTATATAATGTGATATTGCCATGTAGTTACGATAGTATTCGGTTCGAATGTTAGTTTTTGTCCACCGAGGATGATCTTGGTAGTGGTACATGGACGGCATATAGGATTACCCGATTAGGCAATGCATTCCTCGGTAGAGTCGTCGGGGCCTCATTAGCCCATTCAACGTTGCAGCATTGTTCATATGAGATGGATTGCATTACTGAGAGCATCTACTCGGGTAGGATCCCGACTACTCAGCATACATACCAACGTCACGCCGCGATCTGCCTCTATAGACTGCAGATGATCGTTAGGGTTTAGCCGAGCAGCCTCCCATCCCCACAACATCGCCACGACTGCCAGCAAAGGTAGCGCGGAGTCTGGCGCATACAGAGCATCCAAGGAAGACTCACTAGAACATACAAAAGACACGTAGTTATGTAGGCTAGACTGTACTGTAGGAAACCCAGGATACCAGACTCGAGAGAAAAATTCATAGGGACGGAACCCCACACAAAAGCACCATCGACCAATCCGTCCTTCCGCACTTCCACCTCCCACAGACAACACCGACTCACCACCTCTTCTCCATCATCATCACCACCACCACCACCACCACTTCAGGTAATTCCCTCCCACTCCCTCTTCTCGACAGTCCGTCTCTCTACAGCTCTCCCTCCGTCCTCTGGTCGGTCTTCACCCCCTCCGTCGCCCGTCCATCGCCGTGGTCTACCCTCGTCGAGCTGCAAAAAAGGGCTTGGCGCACAATATTCCCAACGTCTCACTCGCTCCCCCTCTTCTCCTTCTACCACTCGAATTGGCCCTCCACACCATCTCGACCCGTCCGAACGACTGTAACTGACGCTTCGTTTCTTTCGCCCTTGGCTACAGGTTCTAATCGGATACCGAACGCACGAACTCTATCACAATGGATCAGGCAAAGTTGGCTCGGATGCAGGCTAGCGTGCGGATTGGTATGTGCGATTTTTCTCTTCCGCTTGTGTGATGTGATTTGAGGTGGTGGTTTGCGGTCTGCGTCGTCCTCGTCTTTGCGATGCGAGTGTCAACCGGCGGGCAGATGCCGTTGGTTTCTGTCCGCGGGACGGGCGACAAGGACCGGAATACCACGCTTCATTGACTAGTCTTTTGAAATTCCGTCGGCTTGCTAACTTCTAAACAGGGTACGTATCCAACCCGATAACCATCCCAGAAACCCTCCATCCGGACCCCGTGCTAACCGCAACAGAGGCAAGGGTACTCCCCGCCGCAAGGTCAAGAAGGTCCACAAGTCCTCCGGCGCCGATGACAAGAAGCTCCAAGCCACCCTGAAGAAGATGAACGTGCAGCCCATCCCCGCCGTCGAGGAGGTCAACATGTTCAAGGAGGACGGCAACGTCATCCACTTCGGCAACCCCCGCGGTAACTTCCCTCCCTCCATGGAATACTTCAGAGGGAGCTAATAATTCCAGTCCACGCCTCCGTCCCCTCCAACACCTTCGCCCTCTACGGTAACGGCGAGGAGAAGGAGCTCACCGAGCTCGTCCCCGGTATCCTCAACCAGCTCGGCCCCGACAGCCTGGCCTCCCTGCGCAAGCTCGCCGAGTCCTACCAGAACATGCAGAAGAACCAGGCCGGCGCCGAGGGCAAGAAGGACGACGAGGAGGATGATATCCCCGATCTGGTCGAGGGCCAGGACTTTGAGAGCAAGGTCGAGTAAGAATAGTGCGATCGGAAAATATGATTGATTAGGTGGTGGCTATTTTTTCTCTCCCTTTTCCTCTCTCTCTCTCCTAATTCCATATAAAGAAAGATAACGACAAAAAAGCTCTGAGCCTCTTTCTTCATCTCTTGTCTTGGCTGTGCCAGCCGCCGTCTGGGCTACGTTGTATATCCTGTGCGTTGCAAGGTTGGCGATGAGGGTATGACTTTTGTTCGGGTTACAAGGTCGTCAATGATGGTCTGGTTAGGAAGCGCTGTGTGCCAATACGTAGTTATGACGGTGGAGTTGGTAGACTGGGTAGACAGAACGTCTAAGAGGTAATTATTGGTCCCAGATGCAGCAAATAATACAGTTCCCCGGCGCCCAATCCATGCCATACATCATCAAACTCAACATACACCCGTTGGGTGATCGTAGACAGGACATGTCTCCGCAACGAAGTGCGCCTCGGTTCGGGTCGACATGTCACCGTCGCAGACCTAGCAATGGTCAAAAATATGTAGAAGGATTACCCTATTCCACTGTTTTCCCACCCCTCATGACTCCTCTCTCAATCCACAGATATCCGACCCCAGAATCCGATCCACCATGTACCAAAACCGCCAGTACGTGTTGGACTTTTCGTAATCAAATGTGCCGTCCTCACGCAGCTGTGGCCCATCGCCGACAATATCCCCCGTGAACCAGCTGAGAATCGGAATCGACCGCAGAACCCGCTCGGTGACCGTCGGTTGTGGCGGCAGCGCTTCGGTGATCGGCCGCAGTTTCGTCCGCCGTACGGTCGGAATATGGGTCATGAACTCCGACTCGGGCTTGGGCTCCTTCGACACACTCCGCTGCTGCAGCGTCGACGACGACGAAGAACTCTGGTCGACGCCGCTGGCCGTGGCCGTAGCAGAGCTGACAGTGGGCGCCGATTCAGGCGTCGACGGCTCCTCCACATCCGCAACACTAGACAGATTGTTCATCGCAAATGACCGCGGCAGCGTCGACCGCTCCCGGTCCTGCGTCTGCAGGAACGCCGTCGAGTGCGACTTGGTCAGCGTGCGCGAGCCGCGCGATTCCAGCCGCGTCGCCGCCGCCGAGCCCACGGGGATGGGCACATCCTCCGCAGGGCCCTGATCGTGGTACAGCTCGCAAAACACCAGGTGGCCGTCGATCTCCTGCGGGGAGAAGAAGCAGGCGCGGTCGGCCGCGACAGTCGAGTCGAATGTCACCTTGATCCAGTGGAAACCACCCGCATAACGCTTCGACTTGCGGTTCGCGTCAGCCGACAGGTTCGTGCGGATGACCACGTCGCCGCCGCCGCTGAGGAGCTGCGAGAAACCCGTCGCCGCGTTCGGGTCCACTCGCGGATAGTCCTCGCAGATGACCCCCTGCGAGATGCGCTCGTACTTATCAATCACCTTCCACTCCGAGTCCTTGCTGCGGTACCCGTACAGGATGCACTCGGTCGCTACCTTCTCGGTCTGTTTCCGCGGGTTGTCGAGGCTCGAGGATGAGGACGACTTGGGAAGTGTGTTGCGCCGTGCCTTCTCCTCCTCTTGTTGCTGGGCGAAGAGCCGGCCGAACTCGGCGACGTTCGGGTTCTCGCGCTTCGCTGGTGTGCCGGTGCGGGTGCGCGAGCGGGCGTGGTCGTACCGGGCGTTGCGCCGCTTGCCAAATGGGCCGCTTTCCTCTGGGGGTCGTCGGGGGTTGCGAGATTCACTGTTGAGTTGGTTAGCTCTGTGTTGGGAGGAGCTCCCGTCGGATTACACCGTAGAGCGAGAGATGGATACTAGGCAGGGAGCGTACTCTTTGTAGACGTAGCCCCAGGGTAACAGATTGCCCTTGTCGTCTTTGGCGCGCTCCTCCGGGGGAACGAAGTGGTACTCCATGAGGTCTCGACTTCACGTTACTTCGTTTGATCAGAGAGATTCGAAGGTTATTATGAAACAAAGTATCGACGAGAATGTGGGAAGGGATCGAACTCCAGGTCCGATAGGTAAGAGGTTTGATTGCTGGGTGAAATAGTGAAGTAAGATGGAAGTCCCAGGTTCGCCGCCAAAACTTTTGGCTTTCAGTAAACAGTGGGTTCGCCCGGATACGGTCACGTGCTATCTGCTATCTCCAGTCATGCACCTTACCGTTTTGGGACATTCTACTACTGACATCAGATCCAGTTTCATATTCTATTGACCGCATCTCACTGCTAGTCTTGACGAAGAAAGGTGATGTGTCCCACGTCCCCATCTAACCCGCACACGTCGCCGTACTCGCCGACTTCATCCCTCCGCCGCTCAACATGGCTGACAAATTCCTTCAATGGACATGAAAGTCCTGGTCCGGATTTGCAATACGGCAAAGGTACGGTTCGGTCGTTAATAATCACCCGTACATGAGTCTCTTCGTTGTCATCCATATCCGCAGAGGATAAAGAACAGGTCATCCGCTCCAGGACGATGCGGCCGCCCATCGGCATCACCGACGACGTGCGCCAGACACGATCCGACACTGCATGTGTGGTAGGCAAAAGAGGATCATACTTGTCGTCTCTCAAAATATCCAGTGCAGTAAGAAACGGCGCAATGTCGCCGTCATGAACACTATCATCCATCGTGGGTTAAACCTGGTGCATCTCATTCACGGATAGACGACTCACAAGCTGAAAAACATGGTCCCTGCATCTGGCCCGGAACGTAACAGTGAACTCGTAGCATTCAACCAAAGCCAGCCCATCGCCCCGGCATATGGGTTCCCAGGCCCAGCACGGTAGTAATGGATCAAGTCGCGGGCGTATTCAAAGTTCTCCCAGTCCGCACGGGTAAAGACATCACACCAGGGACTAGATCCGCGGGCGATGGTCTCGAATCCGCACATCTCCTGCATACTATACACTTCCAGGTTGGAGAGGTAGGCCAATTCACGGTTGTCCTGGTCCTCTATCAATCTCTTCGCAATGGGCGGGATGTATGCCTCCTGGAAGACGCCGAGCATGTTTACGCCCATGTCATGGCCGGTGATGGTATCTTCCAGGTATCGCAGACACGTGTCTCCCGGGGTCAGTGTATCAGCCCGGCGATCAAGAGTCTCGGGGATGATTTCCAGTGCGGCTCTTCCGCTGTCTCCCCAGTCCAAGCCAAACAAACCGGCAGCGAAGTATCGGGCGGACTCGATGACTCTCTCCGAATCACTGGCCCAGAGTATAGTCCGAGAACCCTGTGGGAGGAGATGAGCGTACCGAGTCAGAAACCGCACCCCAGTAGTAAAGGCCTGGAGCGTTCCCGCGTAGGGACCTGTTCGAGTAAGCTGCTCGAAATCCCTTTCTGGCCTATCAGTGAAGTAGGTCCAGTTGTTTAGGAAGGATAGAGAGCCATTTAGAACGACGTTTGCTTCCTTGATGCGGGTGATGAGATCCAGATGACCTTTCAATGTTAGGAAAGTCTTTTTTGGGAATAATCCCATTTTCAGTGGTGGCTTACGAGTTCCAGCAGACTTGGTCGGATATCTCTCTGCATGGCGGGACATCTGTGCATGGTCAGCCAGGTAAGCAACCACCGTTTAACATTAAAGCTATACGTACCATATGAACTTGATCAACCGAGCATCCATCCGGAGGGTTTACCCTGGTGACGTCTGGGTCTCCATCAGTCTTCTCGATCCAAGGGCCATTGCCTCCTAAATGATAGAGAAGATTCCAATCATTCTGGTTCGAACTCGCTCCGTCCCTGTATAGACCAGATCGGGCTGGATGGAACCATGAATTCCAGCTCGCACAATGCGGTGAAGAGAAGGCGGTCGAGCTACAGTAAGCCGTTAAAGAGCCCTGGACGCCGCCTGTACGATACCAAATGGCACCCACACCGGCCAGAAACGAGACTATCAGTGCCCAGGAGTTAAATAAATTAGCCATATCTGGCGTGTTATGTACCAAGCATGGCTAATCCAGCCACGATGGGTCGAAATAAACTACATGTCTTGGGGCTAAACGCGACTCGCCAAGAAAGGGACTATCAGTGGGTCTTTCATTGGCTTTGTCTGAATTGATTGATATAGGTAGGAGCTTCGCATTACAATCTATCCAGTATACCAAATAACTTTCTAATAATCTAGAAAAAGGCGAATGTAAGTAAATTAGTTTCTATCCTATCAATCTCACCAATTTGAAAGGTGGTCAACTCCTGGACAGTATGGTGCCTGGATATATATATCTGGGTGGGTAAGTCCCTGAAAACACTTACCTTTTGGTGAAGGATACTTGTCTGAACAGAGTTCGATGTTATACAGTGATGCTGAAGGCATAATACACATTTGTACAGAATAGACCGGCCTGTTCTCAAATAATTATTTGCGTGTTGACATGCTATATACAATTGTTCATAGGAAATTGAAGTCTTCAATCCTCGACCCAGTCAGCCAAGTTTGCAGGTCTCCAAAGGCGTCAAGGTCATTCTTTTCGGTAGAGATGTCCACGCTAGGGTTGTGCCAGAACGGAGTCGTTTTTGTTCCTGTACTGCGTAAGGACTCCCCAAGATATCGGCAGCTATCAAAGTCGATGAGTATAAGCTTGCCCTCTTCGTCGAGCATGATGTTGGCGGGGTTAATATCGTTATGGACGAGCCCAAGCGAGTGAAGATGTTTGATAGCAGCTAGAAGCCCTGGAAGACCGCTCGAGATACTTTCTGTCACTAGCGCTCGCCCGCTCGAAAGAAAGGCAGCTTTGTTAAGGCACCGAGGATTAACGGCTTCGAGTAACGTAGACGTATATCGCTTGAAACATAAGCCAGAGACTCGACCGTGACTCTCATTGCAACCGTAGTAAGTCGCAATGTTCGGATGGGGTTTCTTCCGAAGGATTTCGCAGGTTTCAACTTCGCGAGCGATTCGCTTTTCGAGGTCCCCGTCCACGTATGCGAGGAGACTTGGCGTTTTTATAAACACCGCAGACCAGGACTTCTTAATACCCGGGCCTCTGTCCTCAGTGGCGATCCGCTTAAGTTCCTGGAGTTCTTCAAGTGTATTCGGAGAGCCATGCCGGTTTGGCCATTTCCCAGCATATAATATGCCATCCTGCTGGGCAAAGATCCGGACGTAAGAAAACTTCATTTTGCCCTCAATTCTTTTGAAGGCCTCATTCTTCTGTACGATTTCCATGTTCGTAGAATGAACTCCTCCTGGACGGTCGGGACAGCAGATGGATATAGTGGATCTGGGAGTCATGAGGGATGAAGCTTCAGGCAGTGTTAAAGTTTGTTGGGCGCCGGAACATCGTGGCGGAGGTTCAAAGGAACTAGTGGGACAATGTACAACCACAGCACCCTTGGTATGAGCTACCTAGTATTGAACCCTTCCCGCACTTGACAAATGCGTCCCACGAGATATATCAGTTCCCGTCCAGGGTGTTCATAATTTCGTCCTTGCAAAAGCTCAAGCCCACTCGAACACCATCTCCCTTTCCAAAATATAGACTATGGCTCGATTACTCGAATTGCCAAACGAACTGCTTCTTCTTGTTGCCAGATAACTGCCCTACTAAAAAGATATCAACTCCTTTGTCTAAACAAACCGCCAGCTATACGCTCTCTTAAACGTTTTCCTATACAAATTCAATATCCAGCGCCATCAAAGCTCTGCCTTGACATAGGCAGCCAACGATGGAAATGATCACTTAGCAAAAAGGATGCTTGAAGCTGGCGCCAGTATAGCATCATTTCCACTGATACCTCAGGACTGCGGGGAACCCGCTCTTATGCGCAGTTATAACACTAAAAGTGATGCTCTCAGAAAAGCGGCCAGATCGAAGATGTTCTGACCGCGAGGATAAAATGGTGGAATTGCTGCTTGAGAATGGTGTAAACCCACATCTGCAATGCAAATGTCCTGATGACGATGGGGTTTTTCACTATCGTAGCTCAATATGGTGCACCATTACGTTCCGGAACTGGAAAATACTCAACCTTCTCATTTCAGAGGGTGTTTATCCACACCCGGCTGACCTCGCCCTTGCCATTGAGCGTGATGAGAAGCAGGCTATTGCTCTACTATCCCAATCTGCTTATGAGAATGTACCGGCTAAGATCACTCTACCTGACTTTATCAAGCATATGGAAGATGAAAGAGTAAAGACAGACCCTAATTTTGTGCCAAAGGACTGGTCGCCTAGAGTCTCTTAACCCCCATCACTCGAGATAATCAATCCAACAAATATGTGGCAATTAAAGTCGGGACGGCCGAGTTACACAATTGAAAAGCTGATATCCTGTCTTCTCTCAATGACCCTTTACCTGATTGTCCCCGTAGGACAATGATACCGTCTATCCACGACAGGTTCACTCTCTCCGGTCCCAATGGCACTCATCTCCTGCTATGCGACATCACTAGCGAGGTGCAGTGTTTCTGACGCGAAAGATGGCTCTTATAATCGCCTCTTCCAAGCAACCACCGCTCGCTCCATAATCGCACAACCCGTCCTAGCTGTTGAGTACATCCATGGTCGAGTGGTTGCTCACGGTGGTTAGTCCATGTCCATGACTCCCTGTTTATCGCCCTGACGTGCTAATGTGCTCTCTGCACCAGATATCCATGGCGGGAATATTCTCTTACGCCTTCCAGCCGAGTTTGACCGGCTTTCAGAAGATCAGCTGTATGAAAAATACGGATCGCCAATCCAGTAGTTTTTTCCCCGTGAAGGAGTCGCCCGGTGATATCTGTCTCGCATTCTTGATGTTGGAGCATATCCCATCTGAGAGGTTTAGCATAATGATGCCTAGGTTGACACCATCCTCGGATTTAACTTAGGCAGACATCCACAGTTTGAATGATCGAAACCGGATCAGCTATTCCACTGCCCTTCCGCCCTATCCTCTCGACATCCTAAGGACAGAGCCATGGAATATTTGTGAGGCCGAGGTGGGGTAAGATTGTTAGCCCCGGTGCCAAAAGAGAAATCATCAAACAGTCCGCGCCAGCTCTTGATTACTCCCCTGACCTGCTGCGTCCCCTTCATCGACACCCGTCCCCAGCCCAATGTAGCACCGTGAGCACCTCATAATGGACCAAGACCTCCCCGACTTGGTTCGAGACTTGGAACTCGAGACAGAATTCCTCCCGTACTGCAATACAGAGACCGTCCATACGTACCATGAGCGCCAGCCGTATTCTCGAGACCAGGTTTCCCGATCGGAACATTGGAGGCGGCTAAGAAAAATCGGCGGGGGAGGGTTTGGCACCGTGTGGCTCGAAAGATGCACAAAAGGGGGCCATCACGGTATTGAATTGCGCGCTGTGAAACAGTTGGAAATGACTCCGCATTCGAAACGTCTGGATTACAGCCATGAATTGGAAGCCATCGCCAAGTTCTCTCAGTGGAAGGTACTACTCTGCTCTCTGTTCCACGAGGTTGTCATGACTGATAATGGCCGAAGTATGAGCGATGCTTTGTCAAGTCATTCGGATGGTTCCGGAGCCCGGAGCATTTGTTTATCTCTATGGAATACCTCGAGCTAGGGGACCTCCATCACTATCTACAAGACAAGGCGCCTCTACCGGAACCCGACGTCAGGGATATATCGCATCAGATTCTCGATGGACTCTGCTTAATGCATGGCAACGGCTTCGCTCATAGGGACTTGAAACTCAAAGTAGGTCCATTCCCCGTTCTCATAGGGCCGACCACTCTGCTGATCGACTGACCCTCGCTGCCCAGAACATCCTTCTGAAATCATGCCCCCCAAATGGCTGGCGGGTTAAGATCGGGGATTTTGGTATAAGCAAGTGCGTGGAAGATGGCCTTGGGGTGTTGACAACGACCATAGGCACTGTGGGATATATGCCGCCAGAAACCCTTGGGTTTACAGAGCGCGGCCGTCCATATGCAGTCGATGTCTGGGCAGTCGGGGAGGTCACTTTTCAGTTGCTCACGAAAAAGCCGACCTTCAAGAATCCGGGACTCCTCTCCAAATATGTGAATAACCTGGAATTGTTCCCGATTGGTGTACTCCAGGCCGCTCGCATCAGCCAATCCGGAATTGAGTTTATACTCTCCACGATGCACCCGATGCTGGATAAACGGATAACAGCACAAGAAGCTTTGCACCACGCCTGGATGGATCAACCGCTCTCTGGTCTCACTTCACATACACGAGATGTGTTGTCCCATGGCCCAGCAACATCTACGGCAACTGACTCGGAGGATGAAGAGCTTGCGTCTTGGGACACTGATACCGATCCCACATCAGCAAGAACGGCTGTTCGAGAAGAACCAGATGATACCAAGTCTTCAATAAGTTATAGGAGGAAAGAAATTTCCAGCGCAACTAGCGGCTCTTATCTTTTGAATTCGGGCCCTACGAACCGCAAAAAGGATGCCATACCAGACTTCGGCGGTCACAGCGACGGACAACCCTCCTTCACAGAGACCTTGCGACACAGAGAGAGACCCCGCCAAATACACCTGCACAGTCGAATACCTCTCATGCACCCACGCGGACTCCACAACCCGCGACAAGCCCCGGGAGTAAACTCATTGCTGTGGCTTTGTGGGAATACAACAAGATCGAAGATAGCGATCTCAGCTTCCCTAAAGCGGCTATAATCACACACATTGTAAGCTGAACCACTCGCCAAATTTCGGAAGGGCAGAGTAGATTCCTACCATCTACCCACGGTTTTATCACTGACTAGGCTATAGTACCCTGTTGACCCTGGTTGGTGGTGGGGCGACTACGGAGACCAAAGGGGTTTCTTCCCAGCAAACTATGTCTCTGTCATTGGAGGCGCTGGCGCTCAGAATGCTACTGCTGCTGCTACTACGACTAAGCCGACTTCTGGTCCTGCTGGCAACAAAGACGAATACGGACGGCCTCCTAAAGATGGCCATAGGGCCGATCTGAAAAAGTGGTTTTTGGGTCGGAGCCGGGGACTGTGGATGTAGCTTGAGCCTAATATAACTAGAGGAGGACTGCAGTCCTTAAAGTAGCCTAGCTCCTTCCTACCGGTTTAGCTAAACTGAGCGGATTCACTACAGAACAATTATCTGGTCTATAACCTTCCCACCAAGAAACTCAAGATCCAAACACTCGATAGTGAATCAGACCGGGAACGCACAAAGGTCAAACATAAACGGGTCTAATAGGTCAGACGGCCGCCCAGAACAAATGCATATCATTTGTAAGGGGTACCCTTACTTGTTTGTTCATACAGAGTGCATACCTAACAGTCGGTGTGCAGAAGGCACACTCTATTCTATGGAAGGCCACAATCTGATAGAGACCGGTCATATGAGGAGCGAGACCCTGCGCTTGGATGGACGAAGGTCCATCAACCATTGACCGCAGGCCGATCTGTGTGTTTGGGGGCCCATACCGTTGAAGACTATGAACAATCTCCCAAAAAAGGGGCACTCCAGAGTGGCCTAACCTCTTCCCGGCATATTGAAATCCGCTTTTTTTTAAGGGACTACAAAGTGCAAAGACTCGTGGAGTACCAACATACCATGCATTAATAATAGATCAAATAGATTGAGTGGAATAACCTGTGCAATGCTACGTAGTATACCGAAATCGAGGACTCCGATCACCCATCTCTTCAATCTCCTCATCCGACATACCAACAACCTTCTCATCCTCCAGACCCCGCGCCCTGCGCTCATTCTTCCGCCGGTAGTACACCCACATAAGCCCATAGACAAGGCCCGCGAACCCGACCAGCGCCAGAGTCACCGCATTCCCACGGACATAACGGGGCGCCTCGTTGGTCTTATACAAGAACGGCGACATCACGCCACTGACATTACCAAACGTGAGCTGCAGGCCCGTGGCAAAGGTGCGCTTTCCATAGCGCGGAAGCGTAGTCGGGAGCCACGCCAGCGGCAAGCCGACGGCAACATACAGCCCCAGGGCGACGAGCAAAGCCCCAAAATAATGCACCCCGGAGGAAGACTCGGAGATCAGCACGCCGTACCCGACAACCGAGATGGCGGCGAAGATGCAGACGAACAGCGCGCGGCGCTGGGTGCGATCGCTGAGCCACGCCACGGCGAGGTAGACCAGCGCACCGAGAGCGTAGCACGGGATGGTCAGGGCTTGTACCTCGGGGGCGGACCACGAGCCCATGCCCTTGATGATGGTGGGGAGGAAGGTGCTGTAGCCGTAGAGCATGGTGTCGACACCGAACTGCGCGATGCAGAAGGCGTAGATGCGCCAGTCCGTGGCGCCGTCTTTGATGTCCGCCCAGTGGAACTTTTGCGCCGACGCGGTGTGACCGGTGTGCCGGCTGCGGAGGCGCACGACGAGGGCGCGCTCGTCTGCGTTGAGGTAGTAGGCTGTGTCCGGGTCGTCAGCGAGGAAGAACCATGTCGCGATGCCGATGAGCACCGTGGGCATCCCCTCGATGATCATGATCCAGCGCCAGCCGCGGAGGCCGCTGATCCCGTCCATGAACCCGATCCCGTACGCGATCAGGCCACCGCAGGCGCCGGCCGCGGCGGCGCTGCTGAAGAGGTAGCCGGTGCGTAGGGCGAGTTCACGTTTGCTGTAGAACAGCGTAAGATATGTCATGAGACCGGGGAAGAGTCCCGCTTCCATGATGCCTGGAGGATTGTGAGCATGCTTCAGAAAGAGAGGGGGCGGGGGGCGGACCTAGGAGAAGGCGGACGGCGATCAGATCGGCGTATTTCTGGGTGATCCCCGTGAGGGTTGCGATGATACCCCATAGCACAGTGATGGTGGCAATGTACCGCGATGGCTTCAGCTTTTTGATGACCAGATTTGATGGCACTTCAAACAGCTGGAAGGGGGTTAGATGATGTGGGATGAACGAGTCAGATTGTACATACACAGTAGGTCACGAAGAGAATCGATACTGCGATCTGATACTGGTCTCCGACCAGACCAAGATCCTCCTCCATGCCATAAAGTCGTGCGTTTCCAATGTTGACTGTGATGCAGTCAGTAGGAGAGACTTGCGGTGGCAAAGCTCACAGGCCGGTGACAAACCTCTGTCCAGGAAGCTGAAGAGATAGAGGAGGACCACAAAAGGAAGAATATGCATATCGATCTTCCGAATGAGATCCTTCTCGCGCTTCTGGTCGATTACCGACGCGACAGAACTGGCATCCTCGGAGGCCATTGGGTTGTTGGCCTGGGGTGGTGTTTCGATATCCACTTTTGGTTCGGATTGGGAATTCATGATGTCTGTACAGCTTTTGCTTTTTTATCGCTCCGTCCGAGGTCAGCTGAGGAAGATCTTCCTCAAGGACACGCCCAGCCACTGCTCATGTCCTGGATTATGTGTAAAGTGGCATGGGTCGGGCAGCAGTTATAAAGAATCACACTGCACTATAGCAGCCTGCAATAACAGGAGGTATAAATTATCAATCAGAGAGGGGAAGACACAAAGGTTATTTGTGCGATAAAAGAAGCCAAGCGCCAAGGTTCCAGACTAGCTGAAAATCGGATCCTTATTTGGATTTAGAAAATTTTAGGTGCGCCGGTCCAAGGGAGACTGACGATTTCCCTGATCGCCACTTTCATCCCTGGCTGATCTCATCATGGTGCAAGGGGTGTGGATAACAATGGCATTCTTGCAGCCAAAAGACGTGCAATGATGTCGACCTTTATTCATCCCGACAATCCTCCCGGGAGACACGTACCTACCTACCTCTGTTGCAGTCTCACTCCTCGTGTTTTCTCTCCATAGGCCCCCCAGACCCCCACCATTGGCAGGCGATAAGATAAAGCAGACCATCCAAGGATCCTCTTACCCACTCTTGTAAATTGTTTCTACAAAAATGAGCCCTAGCAGTCATAGTTACTTGAGAGGCATGGTTTAGTACCTACCTCGAGAATGGGGGAACAGGGATAAGATGGTCTATCGGAGTATGGAGTATATCGGATTTATAGGTGTCTAAGGTAGCACTCATGGTTCAGTCGTCCTTTGGTATGGATGTATGTGTTATTTGGATTAATTTACGTCAGTTACTAGTCTCCATTGCCTGGGCTAGCATTAGTATTATGCGCCCATGAATGCTAGGTTAATCTCCATCATCCTAGCCAGTTTCTCCCGAGGCACAGTGAGCTCACGTGCCGAGGGGTGGAGATGGGGAGACACTAGATGGATCTCCGCAACCATGATGCTTTTCCCTGGTTCGACTTACTGATAATCGTGAGCAACCTTATTGACTCCATTCCACCATGTCGGAGAACTACGGCGAATATCAAACTGAAATCTATGGCCAGGGTGCCTTGATGGGCACTCGGCCCACCGTCACGACAGACCCCCGGCTGCTGGAGGAGCAAGCCAAGAAAGCATTGGGAGCCCGTTCCTACAACTATGTCGCCGGGGGAGCTGGAGAGAAGGCGACAATGGATAGCAACCGGCTGGCATTCCGCCAGTGGAAGCTGTGAGTCCATCGCCTTGTGCTTGACAGATGACGGCTAACACGAATTTCCCTCACATAGAATCCCCAGAATGCTTAAACGGGTCAGTGATTCTATTTCCTGAGTCGATAGTGAGCCGGAAGGCTAATCATATCGTGCAGATTGACAATCAGAATCTCTCGGTCAATCTCTTCGGTCAGGAGTACCCAACTCCGCTCCTCATGGCTCCGGTCGGTGTCCAGAGCCTATTCCACGAGGACAAGGAGACCGGCCTCGCAGAGGCATGTGCGGACGTCGGCATTCCATACATTCTCAGCACTGCGAGCAGCAGCACCATCGAGCAGGTCGCCGAGGCCAACGGCGACGGAAAACGCTGGTACCAACTGTACTGGCCTCAGTCCAATGACGTCACCGCGTCTCTGCTGAAGCGTGCAAAGGAGAACGGGTACTCGGTGCTGGTCGTCACTCTGGACACTTGGTCCCTAGCTTGGCGGCCCGCCGATCTGGACAATGCCTACGTTCCGTTCATCAAAGGAGTTGGGAACCAGATTGGCTTTTCGGATCCCGTCTTCCGCGCCAAGTTTGAGAAAGAGGCTGGGTGCAAAGTTGAAGAGGATATTGTCGCGGCGTCGAGAGCCTGGATCTCAGATGCGTTCCCCGGTCGATCGCACTCGTGGGAGGAACTGGCGTTCCTCAGGAAGAACTGGGATGGGCCGATTGTCTTGAAGGGCATCCAGCATGTCGAAGATGCTAAGCTCGCCCTGAAAGCGGGATGTGACGGTATTGTTGTTTCTAACCATGGCGGTATGTTTTATCATCTCCTTTGCTTCTGGACTTGATCACCCTCTAAGTTTTCTTTTCTATAGGGCGCCAAGTGGACGGTGCTATCGGCTCCCTGGAGGTCCTCCCGGAGATCGTGGAGGCGGTTGGCGACAAGATGACCGTCCTGTTTGATTCGGGCATTCGCACCGGTGCCGATGTCATCAAGGCTCTGTGCCTAGGCGCGAAGGCGGTCCTCGTCGGCCGGCCGGTGGTCTATGGTTTGGCCATCGACGGGAAGAACGGTGCCAAGGCTGTCATGAAGGGCCTCCTAGCAGACATATGGCAGAGTATGGGACTGTCTGGAATTGATGGAATCGCCGAATGCACGCGGGACAGAATCCGGAAAGTTCAATATGGCGGAGATATCAAGGCGATGATGTGATGCATGGCGTAGATCGTGGGACAAAATACCTACTAGTGGGATCGTTCCCTTGTATAGAATCACGTGTATACCGCGTGTGAAGAATTATGGAGATATAGTACATCCGAATGTCCAGAACTTCTAGAAGACTTCTGTGGATTTCATCACGTAAAAATATCCACATTGATGGCATTAACAATGAAAGATATGTGTGCATATCCCCAGAAAATCTTCCGAACCAAATTGTTGGGGAATCACATGTCAGCCCGCCACATGTTCCTCTCAACCACGAATAATCAATAATCATGAGTCCAAATGATCGACCGCTGACTTGGTGGCCCGCCAGGAACGCGACACACTGACGCAACTCTGTTTCCCTGATCCTGGACAGATTAGGTCTACCGCCTCTCCCCATCCCTTCTCTCCTACAACCCTCGCTCATGGCGGCTGAAACCACCTCGGACGCAATACATGAACGCGATCGACGTGGATATCATCATCTCCTCCCTGTCTCGGAATGTTCCGAATATTCGGCCTTGGGCCGACGACAGACAGAACCCAACCCGATAATGCGATCGTAACCCAAGACCATGGTCCTAGCCATGTGCCCGCGACGTCGGGACGGACCCTACTGCCACGTCCGGTGGCTTCGATGGTCTCGGTGCTTGCCCAGTCCACCTCTCTCTCTGTGCGACTCTGGACCTCGCTCGGTGGATTCGCAATCGACGGCATGCGAGTAACGACGTTGACCGGCCTAGAACTCAGCAGAGCGGTCCTGGAAGGAATCATGGTCAGGGCTGGGCGCGATGTGGTCCTCCGGAGCAGCGGAGAACATGGAAAAGCAGAAGCCGAGTCTATTCTCGAACGGAGTGTAAGTCAAGACATGCAAAGTCCCCTTGTCCATCTATTACTCATGTAATTAATTTATGCTGCAGCTGGCCACTATACACACGGTCATCACTTCGACGTCGCTGTTCGCAGCCGCTTCATTCCACTTCTATTCCACGACAATCAACTCCGCAGGTCATATGTCGCAGGAGGTTTTATCGACCCTCGACGCGATCCTCGGATCGACTGAATCTTCGCGCGCGATCGCGGCGATCATCACGCTTATCCGCAGAGAATTTAGGGGCCCTCGTGTCGAAGCCGGGACCGATCAGATAGGCGTCGGCGATCTTTTAATTGGCACTGTCGGCTTTGCCATGCTGCAGCGATGGGGCCGAAGAGCGACAGAACGTCATCTCCGCGCCGATGGTGGTGATGAGGTTGTCTGGGATGTTGTCATCCTCGATAGTGGCGTCAGGGCCGATGTTGTCGGAACGCATGAGATAAGTTCCGCGAGAAGTCCGGACGACATCAGCGATGATACGAAGCGATCCTCTTTCATATCGCCGGGGAATGACGACGACACCTTCGATGCGGTACAACGGCCAAAAAGCTCAGACGGCGTCGTGGGACAAGCTTCGTTGTCGCTTTCTCCCAGCAACCAAAATCAGATGTCAGATGAAGACATGAGGTCGTACATCTTGAGTCAAATCCCCAAAGGGTGCCGCGCGTCGATAAAGACGGATATAGTCACGACACGGACCATCACTGTCGATATCTACGACGATGACACTGCAGAAATTGCCGCGCCGCCTGGGACGATGATGATCGAGGAACGATTCCATAATGATCCACACAGTGACAGTAATGCTCTCGGGCCCTCTCAACAACTCCCAAAACATACTGTGGTTTTCCGGACCGCCCTGAACAGGTCACAAAGCGCAGATGTCAGATCACCTCAGCGGCTTGACCGCACGGGGATCCAAGAGATCGAGTCAGAACAAGACGGCTCGAGCTCAAGCCGTCTTCATGGCGTGGCTTTTCCTGGTTCACCTCCTGATGTCCCTCCGAAAAACGACGATACGGGCAATACAATGGCCGCCAAACAGGTGCAACGGGAGAACAAGAAACTAAGAACGGCCGATGAACATCTCGGCCCTGGAGAGAAACGAACCAGCGAGCCTAACGCTCCCAAACCACACCGCGCCAGCGCTAGCCAGTCGTCTTTGAGTGAACCAGAGTCTGCTCCTAAGAACTCGTTCGGAAAAGCTTCATTAACCCGATTTGCTCAGAGAGTAAAGCCGGCCGGCAATGAGAAGAACGAGCATGGTAAACGGCCCTCGCTTAAATCAGCATTCGAAAGGCCAAGCGCGTCATCGACCGATACCTCACAACGCAGCAAGGTATCTAGAACGCTCGCTCCCGAACGGAAGCCACCATATCGTAACTATACCGCGGAAGGCAGTCGGAAGAGTACCACCGCTTCCAAACCAGGCCCTTCGTCGGTAGCGAACAGTGGTTTGCCGAGGTCACCGATGCAGAACTCGCGACTAGGATCGTCCTCCCCAACTGCTCGTCGTTCTAACCCGCGTGATACCCGGTCAGGCAGAACCTCAAGACCTGATTATTACTCTGTCCAAGAGAAGACGCAAGAGTCCTTCGTGTCACAAACTGATGCTTATTCTTTGCGACCAGTAGATAACCGGCCCGGTTCATCCGCTGGAATGAGAGCACATGTGCGCAGTAGCAGTTCCATGTCACTCACGCGATCTGAACAAGATATGACCGTGTCCGTCGGTGAGGGCCAGCCCAGTTCGTCCACTCTTCACCACCGGAGGTCAAAGTCATACACGCCCAGTGTGTACTCATTGGCAACGGCGGACTCGGAAACGTCGCTTGTACTGGCCCACCGCGCTCGAAAGAGCGCGTACGACGACATGTCCACTATGCAATCGCTCAATAGGGATGGTCTGATCCCTGGAATGTTTCCACAGAAGCACTTTGTGCATAACATCAGACGATTTTGCCGCTTCTCTTCAGCGTCGTACGGGTCGAATGCTCTCAAAGTCATGGGTGTACCGCAGTCAGCTAAAGCACTTCCTTCTCAGGAGTCCGACAGCTGGGAACACAGCTTCTTCTCCGACCATACAGGACTACCAGCATCAACAATCCTCCTGTCATCTTTTGTCGACCCAGCTGGGGGTTCGAATGCGGCTGGGGAAACAGGGACAGGCTTCCCTTTGGTTCATTACCTTTTCCTAGACCATGATTCGAAGGCTGTGGTACTGACGTTGCGGGGTACATGGGGATTTGAAGATGTTCTCACGGATATGACATGTGATTATGATGATCTTGAATGGCAGGGGAAAAACTGGAAAGTCCACAAGGGCATGCATGCATCTGCAAAGCGGCTCCTGATGGGGGGAGGCGGAAGGGTGATGATTACACTGAAAGCCGCCTTGGAAGAATTCCCCGACTATGGTGTGATTCTCTGTGGCCATTCATTGGGCGGCGGAGTCGCTGCGATTCTGGCGACTATGCTCTCAGAGCCCAGCAGCGACGGCCCAGGCATGCCATTCACCACCTCTTCGCATCAAGCCACCGCACGACGTATGATCCTCAGTGGGAACAGCGGCCCTGAAACACAACCGAACAACATGTATTTCCTTCCTCCCGGGCGTCCTATTCACGTCTATGCGTACGGCCCGCCTGCAGCAATGTCCCCTTTCTTACGCCGTGCAACACGGGGATTGGTCACGACAATTGTCAATGGCCAAGACGCCGTACCGAGTCTTTCTCTGGGAATACTGCACGACATGCACACCGTTTCGCTTGCTTTCAAGAGTGACATATCCCGCGCCCAAACGAATGTACGACGTCGTGTCTGGGAAAGCCTCAGACAAAGCATTCTCCACAAGTTCTACGTCAACGAACCCCCTATCCTTCTCCATGCTGGAAATGGAATCGGAGAGGACGCTTGGGCGTGGGAGACTCTGAAGATGCTGCGGGAGGAGATGCTCGCGCCCAAGCTGATGCCGCCTGGTGAGGTATTCGTTGTCGAGACAATGCGTGTGTTGCAACGAAATGCGTTCACGTCGGATAGCGGCGATGACGGCTATCCCCGGCTGGGTCGACCAGCAACAAGAGTGCAGCTGAAATTCGTCCATAATGTTGAGGCTGTATTTGGAGAGCTGCGATTCGGCTCGGGGATGTTTAGCGATCATAATCCGGCCAGTTACGAGGCCAGTATTTCGGCCCTGGCGCGTGGCATTCTGGATGATTAATGTTTGATGATATATTGGATCTTCCTCGGCTTGGATAGATCGGGGCGTAGAATTTTTTGGCCTTTCTTGGGTTTTCGTCTCTCCCCTAGGTGCGAGTCCTTTCTGTGATTTTCTCTTTTGTTTAGGTATATATGTTATGTGCACAAGTTTGCCAGACAGCGGTATATAGGATACAGGAAATGTCATGGTGGTTTATGTACACAGTCACGAGGGTGAACTAGAAGATGGAAACATGATTGGAGCATCCAAGCAGTACCTCGCATACTTCTGAAGTAAGGGTTCTCCTGCGACACGCGGGGATACCCCCTGGTGCGAATTCTCGTGTCGTCGAATAGAGACGCCATGTCTCCAAAACCTCAATCGAAACAATCGGTGCGCGTCTGGAGAGGATGCACGAATGCGATACTGCAAGAGGACGCTGCCGGGAAAATTCATGTCGTCGTTCGACGTTCTCGCCACTGTCGCTGGGTATATGGAGCATCTTCCCGGGCGTGGGTGGCTCAATTTGACGCCGATAGGAATTGGACGTTCTAGCGGCGACTTGATATGCATGACTACCGTAGCCCGCTACGGAACCTCACTGTAATTCAAGTCAACGCAGCCCGCTAGAAAATTTCGAAATACTCACCACATAGGTGATGCCATTGTATCCACCAAAAGTAATCAACGGTTATGCGGAGGCTCTTGCTGCGACCCGTTTAGACCCTTGCGTTTCCGATCCTCAATCTTCGCCTCTAAATCCTGGATCTGCCGCTCAACCAGCTCTTTCTTAGACGCGAGGTTCTGTCGCATGCCCTGGAGGTAGGCAATTCGCTCATCGATGGTTGCTTCACGGGTCTTCTGGACGGTCTGCGAAGAATAATTAGCATTCAAACATGACCAGCCCGATTGATTATCCTACCTGAGTGACCTCCTTTTCAGTTTTGATCCCAGCACCATAGAGCGTTCCGGCAATCGTAATTGCTGTAACAGCACCTGTCATAACCAGGCGCTTCACTTTCGGATTGGAAGCCATTCGCGTAAGTATGTCTTTCGGTGCTTGAAGATTCACTGAAGGTCCAAATGTCCGGCGGAGATGGATAATCTCCGAGAGATCCAATTTGCCATTCTCTACCGCCTTCCTATCACGGAGATGATTGGTGACCGCGCGACGCGTTCTGTGCCGCGTCGACATCAATCACCTCGAGTCTCATCTTTACGACAAGGCCAATATCTAGCCGCTGGGTCCACGAGGCTGCTGCGGCTGCTGTTAATACTTACACATGCCCTCCTTGCAGGCTATCCCTCGTCGCCGACAGCGGCCGGAGGAGGATGACGAGAGCGATGAAGTATCCTCCGAGTCGATCAGGGACCCCACGCCATTTTCTCAAACTTCAAACAGCAGCAAACGTCCACGGTTAGGGGACGTTCAGGAAGAATCCGATGATGAGAGCAGTGGAGATGGCTCGATCGATGCCGATGGCGCAACGAGTCCTACCGTTGACGGCGCATCGCAATCACAGCCCAGCGTTGGCAGATCGCTGGGTGCTGCTGTCAACGGAACTCGCGACGAGGATGCATTCAAGCCGGGCGCTATTGTGCGCATCAAGGTTACGAATTTTGTCACTTATACCTCCGCCGAGTTCTTTCCAGGACCGAAACTGAACATGGTGATTGGGCCGAATGGCACAGGCAAGAGTACGCTGGTGTGCGCTATATGTCTGGGTTTGGGATGGGGGCCACAGGTATGTTCCTCCATTTCCATTACTGGTAGAGTACTAACGGGCTCTAGCACCTCGGACGCGCGAAAGAGCCCGGCGAATTCGTCAAGCACGGCTGCAGAGAAGCGACCATCGAAATCGAACTGGCCGGGGGTCCTCGATTCCGCCGTAACCCCGTCGTTTCCCGTACGATCAAGCGGGACGGTAACAAGAGTACCTTCATGCTGAACGGCCAAACGGCGTCTCGCTCCCAAGTTCAGAAACTCGCGCAGTCCTTCTCCATCCAGGTCGACAATCTATGCCAATTCCTCCCCCAAGACAAAGTCAGCGAGTTTGCTGCTCTCACGCCCATCGAACTCCTTCACTCCACACAGCGGGCTGCCGCGGGGCCAGAGATGATCGAATGGCACGAGAATCTGAAGCGCTTGCGTGCCGAGCAGAAGAAGCTGCAGGTGGATAACCAGGGAGATAAAGACCTGTTGACAAACCTGGAAAATCGGCAGGAGATGCAGCGGCCAGATGTGGAGAGGATGCGACAGCGCGCTCAGATTAAAAGAAAGATCGAGATGCTCGAGTTTATACGCCCTATCCCGCGCTACAAAGAGATCTATGCGCAGTACAATGAGATGCGACAGAAGAAGACCGAGGTCAGCCGTGAGCTTGAGACCCTCAAGGCCGAGCTGGAGCCCGCTTTGGGTGCCGTGAACGCGAAACAGGAATACTGTTTGAAACTCAACGATGTCATCGTGCACAAGAAGCGTGGCGTTGAGGAAGCGGAACGCACGGCTTCGGAGCTTGGGCGAAAGATCGAGCAATACGAAGACGACATGAAGGAGCTAGAAAGCCAGATAGAGGCTGAGAAGAAAGGTGGTGCCGAGTACAGACAAGAGGCGAGCAAAATTCAGCAGACGATCAACAAACTCAGGCGGCAGCTGAACGATGAACCGGTGGAATTTGACGTCGACTGGTATAATGAACAAATCGTGGGTATCCTCAACCCATGCGAAAAGTGATTTGACTGACTCATATTATAGAGACAAAAAAGGCACGAGTTACGCGAGATCACTGAAAAGGCAACCCAAATTAAAGACGACCGACGACCCCTTGTGCAGCAGCTCCAAGAGAAAGATCGACAGATCAAACAAGCCGAACAGCAATTGAAGAATCTAGATTCTCAGTCAGGGCGGCAGGAAATGAAGCTGAAACAGGCATCTCTGGACACCTACAGAGCATACCAGTGGCTACAAACGAACCAGGATAAGTTCGAAAAAGAAGTGTTCGGTCCACCAATGATGACATGCTCTGTTAAGGATCCCAAATATGCAGATGCCATTGAGTCCTTGATGCAGAGGAGCGACTTCACTGCGTTCACAACGCAGACCCGAAACGATTTCAAAACGCTGCAAAGATTTCTGATCAGGGAGCTGAGGCTACATGATATCACTATCAGGACCTGCTCAGTTCCTTTAGAAAACCTTGCCGTACCCATGTCGAATGAGGAAGTTAGCCAACTAGGGTTTGACGGTTTCGCCAAGGATTATCTCAACGGCCCGGAGCCTGTGCTTGCAATGCTATGCAGCGAGAATCGGCTGCACCAGACACCCATCACCCTGCGCGGCATCTCAGACGAGCAATACCATGTAATGGAAAGCGGCGAAATCGCATCGATCTCTTCCTGGGTTGCTGGCAAACAGAATTACCAAGTGGTTCGACGTCGCGAGTATGGACCCAACGCATCGACCACGCGGGTGAGACAAGTGAGACCGGCGCAAGTTTGGACCACTCAGCCTGTGGAACAGTCGGCGAAGCAAGATGTGACTCAGCACATCCAGGAGTTAAGGCTCGAGTTGCGCGAAATAGAGCAACAGATGGAGTCTGCAAAGTCTCAGCTCACTCAGCTGGGTCGCGATCATGAACAGTGTGAGCGAGAAAGGGTACGTTCATTGCATGTATCTGATAACACTGATCGACTAACGTCATGCAGGTGGAGCTCGAGAGGGAAAAGGCTGAAAAACAGACAGCCCTTACAAACTTCAGAGCTATCCCTGAGCGAATAAGTGCGTTCCTTTGTTTTCCATGGCTTGTGGACGAGACTTACACATGAATAGGCCAACAAGAGGCGAAGCTAAAAAATAACCAGAAGTACTTCGAGGGCATTAAGGCCCGAGTCCTGAGTATTCGTCATCAGCAATCGCAAAAGTCCATCCAGAAAGCCGAAGCCGCTATTGAATATGCCGTAGGTCCCCTCCTCGTCTCTTCCAACGCTTTCACTGACTGGGATAGAATGCGGTTCAAAATCTTCGCGTACTAAGCGAGGAGTTTATAAGACTGAGTGTCCGACATATCGAAGGTCTCTCGGATCTGGAAACGTTGAAAGAACGCAACGCTGAGCACCAAGCTCAACTCGATGCAAAGAACGATGAGCTGAAGGCTGTCGTGAGCGAAATCAGGGCCACCTCCGAGACAGTGAAGAAAATGATGAAGGAGGCGGACAAGGTGGTGAAGGCATCCAGGGACCAGTCGGATCTGCGAGACCTGATCCAGTCCCTGGTTGACTATACCGTCGACCAGCTCGAAGCGGACATCGATTCCGAAAAGGCGCGCCTGGAGCTGACGCAGGGAGGCAGCAAGAACCTGATCAAAGAGTTCGAGGAACGCGAGCGGCAGATCCAGAAACTCCAGAGCAAGCTGGCCGACTTTGAGAGCCAACTGGCTGACTACGACCATGCCATCAACGAGATCCGGGGTAAATGGGAACCGAAGCTCGACGCGCTGGTCAAAAGCATCAGCGACGCCTTCTCCGACTCATTCGCCCGCATCGGATGCGCCGGTCAGGTCTCCCTGGACAAGGTGGAAGACGAGCCGGGCCCGAACGGCCAATCCAGCGGCAGTGACTTCGACCAATGGTCCATCCAAATCCACGTCAAGTTCCGGGAGAACGAGAACCTCTCGCTGCTCGATTCGCACCGCCAGTCTGGTGGCGAGCGCGCCGTCAGCACCATCTTCTACCTCATGGCGCTTCAGTCGCTCTCGGCGTCGCCCTTCCGCGTCGTCGATGAAATTAACCAGGGTATGGACCCCCGCAATGAGCGAATGGTCCACGGGCGGCTGGTGGACATCGCCTGCGCCCCGGCCGACAGCGAGGGTGGTGGCGGCGGACAGTACTTCCTGATTACGCCCAAGCTGCTCAGCGGGCTGGTCTACAAGCCTGGCATGCGGGTTCTCTGCATCTTCAGCGGTGAACACATGCCTACGGATTATGGCTTGCTCGACTTCAAGGAAGCGGTGAAGCGGAAGCGCGCGTTGAACGAGAAACAGGGTGGGAAGGGCAAGGGCCGGGATGTGGGTTCGGGTGGTAATAGGATTGATGTTTATGCGTAGGCGTTTCAGCGGGAGTTCTTTGATACCATATTATTTTGCCATTGGATATCATGCACTGTACATAGTTCTACGGACCATTTATCTTTGCGCACTACTATAGTGAACGAGAAATCACAGTAAATGCGTCAGCCATTACCATGATTATGATTACTAAGAACTTGGAGACGTAGTTAATCGGTAGATTGAATATACTTCTTCATGTGTCATATCACATCACTAACAAAGGAAATAAACACAAGAAAAAAAATGTAAGAAGCACAGTCCAGAAATCCGGTCCTGGTCTTCTCTTTTGTATTCCGGACGCCCGCTTCCATACCCAGTCCGAACTGCTCAGCGCAGTGAAACCCGTTTCAAGTATACAGTCCAGAAGGTAAAAAGAAAATAGGGATATAGTAATAAAAAGATAAGAAAGAAAGGGAACCGGGTATATATAATAGTCCGAGACGGGCGTCCCATATAAACCGACCGATATATGCCATCCGCATCCAGACACCAAGACAAAAGACAAGCAATGCAGAAAGGGTATCATCGGAAACTCAAATGATTCAGATCCATCGGAGATGTTTTGTTTTCTTCTTTTTTTTCTTTGATGTTTCTTGCTTTGCAGTTCATACCATAGCGGTAGCAACCGGACGGCCGCTGTGGCATCCGCGCTCATGGCGCTTCATGTTGCTGCGGACGCTGAAGGCCTTGCCGCAGCCGGCGTGGGTGCAGCGGAAGGGCTTCTCGCCGGTGTGACTGTGCGAATGGATGCGCAGACTCGAGGGGCGCGAGAATGCCTTGTGGCAGGTACGGCAGATGTACCGGTCATGGTTCTGCTGGTAGGGGGTGGAGCTGGAGGGCGGGAAGTAGTGGTGGTGCTGCCAGGCCGGGGTGACGGGGGAGATCAAGGGCTGCGCGGGAGCGGGAGCAGCGGCGGCGGCGGAAGGCGCTGGAGGCGCGGCGGGGCGCTGGTAGTACAGCGTGGAGGGAGCCGGGGAGGGCTCGACGGGAGACGAGTACGAGGCGACGCTGGGGGCGGGCGAAGCGTACGGCGCGTGCGCGGAGCCCTGGCTGGAGATGGAGGAGCGCTCGGTGGGACTGGGGAGCGTCACGGGGGGCTGTTGCGGGAAGGGCGCCGATTCGGTGGGCTTGTTGGATGATGGCGAGCGGTGGCCGCTGCTGTGGAAGCCGGAGCCTGGACGCAACGGGGGGGTCGGAGGCAGGCATGGTGTTGTCTGGAGCCAGCTATCGGATTCTCTGCGCGCGGGGGTACTGAGGCGCTGGCGCTCTGGGTGAGGGTTAGCGAGGAGAGTATGAGGAGTTGAAGGAGAGGTACATACTAGCTGGGGGCATTGGGGCGCTGTCTGCGGCACCGAGAAGGGTGGAGATGGAAGGGAGAGAGCACTTGGGCTGGTCCTCGACGGGAGGAGAGAGAGGCGGTTGCGGCGAGCGCGAGTAGGAAGTAGTGGTGGTCACTGGAGTCGCAGTAGGCATGGCGGGGAAGTATGACCCCGTATAATGAGGCTCATTAGGGGCCTTGTATGAACCGGACGAAGAAGCCGGGGGACTGTAGGAAGCTCGAGGCGGACGAGATGCGAAGGGAGTAGGTCCCGGGGTGATTAGGCTGGCGAGATCCATGATGAGAGGAGTCAATGAAGAGGGAGTAGGCCGGATTAGGGTATATAGATCGTATAGGATGAAGGTGGAGGGAAGAAGGGCTCGATGGTAGCATCAGCCGGGGCGAACCATACATATATGTATAGAGAACGGGGGGGAGATGTATGGCAGTGGGGTTGGAGGAGCAGCCAACTAAGGATAGCAAGTAAGTAGTTAGTTGGTACGTAGTCGGGAAAGCAGTAATGATGACAATGACAATCACAGAACAGGGGGTGGGGAGGAATGAACGGGGTTTAGAAAATAGAAAATAATAATAATGGAGAATAATAATAATGAAAAAAGAAATAAAAAAAAAGGGATTTACTGGGTACGGTGGGGAGGGAAAGTTGATCATAAAACAGTAATCTTATTTGATTATTATTTATATTATTAGAGGTGAAATTATTTTTTTTTCGTCTTTTTCTTTTATTTCTTTCTTTTCCCCATAATTCTATTCGCGAATAAACGTCCGAGTTGATTATAGCGGCGGGAATCCCAGAATCCCGTTACTGGTTCGATCCTTGGAAATTCACACAATCAGGAATTCTGAATAGACTCTTTCCATGATTCCGCACTCCCCTCGACTATAACCACCGGCATTATAGCTGGGAACGACGAGTGTAATGGGGTGCCACGAATTTTCCCGAGGGGCAGTCGCTTGGACAAGGGCTGATACCTCCGTTCCAAAGCTTAATTAATGACCAGTGGCCTGGGTATGGTACACGCGAGGTCTTGCTTTTTTCCGTGGATGGACTCGATTCAAATCCGGCGTAATACACGGTAACAGGAACCGCAGCCCCAGTCGATTGTTTTCGGTAGGCTCGACGAGAGCTAAAACCTGGAAGGTTGGAAGTTCTCCAGAGTATATTGTATACTCTTTGACTTTATCTTCGGTGTCAGTCTGGTATGTACAGAAGTACATACTACACAACCCTAGATAGCTGACACTCTACATCACAACTGTATTTGATCGCCGGTTCGAAACCAAATCCCATCCCTCCCCCGTAGAACTCTACTCCGTACAGATCTCGATCGTACTCCGTACTGCGTATGGTATCGTTCAGCCCTCGGCTACAGCACATCCATCGCTAGTGCAGATCCACGGACACCTTTCCTTCTCCATCAATCATCGATCATCCTCCAGCATCCATGTCCGGTAATGACGCCGTATCCTGTTAATTTCTTTTTGTTGGTTTTTCGACTCGATATTAATATAGCCGATCGTTCGGGTGGATCACCACACCATGCGCCGTATGGTCTCTCGCTTCCCCCTGCTCGGTTTTACCTGTCACAACGATCCCAGGGGGCCCCATAAACGGCTGATCGTTGCCGCACGATCACTCACTGCCTGTGAACCTGATCTCAGCTTGGATCCAACGAATCCGGCGATCTTCGTGTCTCGTTGGACTCGGGACTCCGTATGGTGCGCCATGCCGCTGCCGTCCACCGCAGCTACATACTTCACGCATACGCAGTACATCTGGTGGACACCAAGTTCTAGGTTTCTAGGTGTCTACGTACACATGTAAATGTAATGAACCAGCCGACAGCAGCAAGAGATGGTCAGATCGCCGCAAGCAGGTCATGCCCAAGACGATGGATGCCTACTCCGTACTTCCTCCGTAGAAGAACCTCGGATGCTCTTCTGCGCCGCAAAACACTAGCCCCCTCCGTAGCGAGGTCAAACAAAACCTCCCCCGACTGAGACAGTAGTACGGGATAGTCGATCGCGGACGCCTCGATGGGAAATGGCTCCGCGATGAGCGACGATGATGCGCGGAGTGGCAGACGCTCCGCTCAGGCTCCAAACCCAAAGCGGGCTAGAGTCCGACGCTACAGAAAAAGCAATCTGTGAACGACGACGGCATGGAAGCCCCCTCTTCGCACTTCGCGGCCTCCCCCCTTCTTCGCTTGGAGCAGAACATGAATGGCTCCGCCAAGCCCCTTAGCGGCGTGAAGGAACCGGAGATTATCGTGGCGTTATCAGCCAACAAGAACAGACGAAAATCCCCACGCTAACCGGTCTTTGCACGGCGCACCATTCCCAATACAGTCTAGCGGCGGTCAGGAAGCTTCTGGCATGGCAATCCATTGAGTAGCAGTGCATTCAGCCTATTCTGCCCGTGGGTATATGTCCGTGTTTTTACTTTTTCGGTCTGACGAGTGATGGTCTCAGGAGGGTGGTGGCCTTTGCAGAACGGAGATTCGACCGGCCAAACAAATGGGGAGGATGCGAAATAGAGCCATGCGGCCTCGGTGCATATCGAAAGTGCATGCATCGCCGCGCATCAGGCGATTACTCATCCACTCGACACTCACATTGAAGTTGACTGGTCACGAGATGACGTCGTCCGACTTTTCTTTTCCCTTTTCCCTTTACCACACAAACCATGCGATTGTCTGAAAACATGGATCCCACGATGATGGTTATGTTATGATGATATGATACACCATACGGAGTATGTACATCTAGAGCATACAGAACCAGACCGACCCAAGTGATTCGCTTCCCAATTTCCCTTCCATTGGGATCGACCCTCAGATCATGGGTCCTACAGACTGGCTGGACTCAGGGCTTCCTTGGGTTGATGGACTTGGCTTGACCGGTTCCTGTGCACGAGATGCCTCGGCCGGGTTTTCCCTGCCGCCTCCACCCGCGAACCCGAAAGGGTCATGGAGACGAGGGTGGGCCCAGCGCCATGGATGATCAGCAGTACATGAAATCGCAGCAGTCATGATCATACTCCTAGACATGACCAACAGGGAGCATCACTATTTATATCGCACGTTATGGATGACTATTAGTTATGGTTTATATGTTAGTTCTTATGCCATGTCTCACCACCTTGAACGATAGACTACGGAGTATACTCCGTAATCGTCGCTTCCAACCAGACGGAGCATCGTAACCAAGGCGACGTGGGCCGTCTGTCATAGACCACCGAGTTTACCCCCGATTTTGCCGGAGAATCGCGATCAAAGAGCCCTCGAAGAGCTACCGAATGACTAACGACGGGGTCCTCTGGCTCCAGTCCATGTGTCGCCCCCACCGGCACCAAACTCTAAAAAGCGCGCTGGTAAAATCCACGACGCCTCCCAGAAACACTAACCTACCCTACCAACCATCGGTCCTCCGTAACTAACAGCAGTCTCGTGGAAGCGAAGCGCGCAGGCCCAATGGCCGCCCGGCGGCGTCGCAAGGATGCGGGCCCGGCGGTGGCCTTAGCTTCCTGGTCGATGGGGCCCATCTCGTCCGGAGCTTCCTCTATCCATGTAACTCCTCCGTACGTCTGTCCCATGTCCCCGTCCGCGACGGCCATCGACTGGAATAATCTACTCCAGGCAGCTGGGTTCTCCCAGTCCCATGTTTCTCCCGACGCCGTCCCCCCATTTTTAATTTCCCACCGAGACATCTAGAATGTTTCCTGGGAGGGGCTATCCACGGTCCCGGGTGTGACCAGCCCGCGTACGCCTGCCTCCCCTGGTCGAGCGCTCTGTACAACCCGACCGACCACCTCCCCCGTCGAGCGTCATTTTACAGAGTTTCCAGCTGTGGGCTGCATCCTCGGTTCGCTTATGGAGTACACAGTAGGCAAGAGAGTACAGGCAATCTTGCCGTTGATCCACGAATTCCCGCGACCCGGGGTCTCGAAGATCTCCTCGGATCGAATGCTGATCATCACGACGACCGTGGATGGCGAGATTCCAGAACATGTCGGCCGGCCGTCATCATCAGGGGCGGGGCTTTGCATACGCGTAGTGGTGCGGTGCCTGGGACAGCACGGAGCAAGTACGGAGTCGTGAGACTAGTCGGATCCATGACTCGGAAATACGGAGTAGTTAGATTGAATCCAGGCGATAGTAATGCCATGGTCGGAAATGATGATGGCCGTGATAATCGGCGGTCGCTTGATCGCTTAGATAGAGGGCGGTCCATCATTCTTTAAAAAGAACACCTAGCCCCAAAAGGGAAAGGCTAGCAGATGGACCCCCGGCGGATCTTAGCCTCTGTCAATCCCCTAGGTAGCCGACTAGACTACTCAAAACGACAACCACCACGACAAACGCCTGTTTGTCAGAAAAGGGGGTGGAGAGCTTGACTTCAGTATGGAGTCAAGCGGCGATCCATGGTGGGTTGAAGCTACGCTTCGCTACTTTGCCTCCTTTTCTTCACAAGATATAGACTTTCTGGGCGACAATTTGGGTTCGATACGAAGGAGTGCGTCGGACTGCGCCCGTGGGGGGTGGAAAGGGTTGTTTCAGAGTTTCGCGGCGGACCAACTTTTGCGTCGGAGCATCAGAAGAAAGCGGCAGGACAGTAATCTGTTTGACACGATGGTGGACAAAGAAAAAGCAGGATCCTGCTCAGGGGAATCGGCACGGATGCACAGCCGGCGGAAAAGGAGTTACCCGCCGAGATAAACTTGATACTAAAAGATTGACACCGATGCGCGCTGATCGTCCAACGTCTCCCAGCTTTGACCGCCAAATAGTCCCGGATGAACTACTGCAAGCCGTTTAGCGCCCGGCGTTGGTGGCTCTGACTCAGCCCCCAGTGACATCGTTGGACGATCTTGCCTAAGCGATGTCCGAGACTATTGGCAGTGGTTGTTGTAACGGTAGCATGAATAATGCATGTCTACCTTAAGCTACTGACAGCTATTGTCATAAGTATTTAATAACTGTACATAGTACCTACTACTAGGTAATTATGCTCCGGTGTAGGAGTGGTGATTACTCATCTCGTCTACCTTTCCTAAATCGATCGCGCTCCGAAATTCTAATCCCGCCATGCAGACGCAACCACCTCGTTTGTTTCATTTGTCGCTAGTCCCATCTCTGGGCGCGGCAACCTGCGACAATGCCGATCGCCATCCCGAGTCCAACTCAAAATGTGGCCATACATCATCATCATCATGACTTCCCGCCATCTGTACAGTCGATCAAACATGCAGCATCCGACCTCCTCCCGAGTCAGCCAG